GGCGGGGCCGGGGGCGGCGGCGGGGGCGCTGGGCGGCAAGCAGCAGCGGCAGGAGCACCGCGAGCAGCGCGCGCGCCGCAACGAGTGGCGCGTCACCAAGATGGTGCTGGCCATCTTCCTCTCTTTCGTCGTGTGCTACCTGCCCATCACGCTCGTCAAGGTCTACGACCCCGACGCGCACTTCCCGGGTCAGTCGGAACGCTCGCTCAAACACAATACCCAGCTCTCGACGCCTGCTCGCGATTCCAGCTGCCTTCTTCCCCTTTCAATCCACATAAACGATTCATCAGCACCTGGTGCATGTTTTTTACACATTGTCCATAGAGTGATTTGTATCTCTATGATCTCTTTAACTATTCTTCGTTTCACATTTAATGTTATGTAACATCAAAAGTTTAGCGTCTGTGTTCTAATCGCAATGTTTCTTGTTACTCTTACAATGCCTCTACTTCCAATACTTCACTGATATTTAATAGACAGCCTCTTTGGGAGGTATTCTTGATGACTCCCTACAAACCTTTCCCATACCGACTATCGCATTGCCGCGGAGTCTCTTCAATTGTCTGAGGCCTCTTTCTGCTTCTTTACGTAACACATAATTATGTCTGACGTCAATTTTCCTTCTTCTTCTTCTTCTTCTTCTTCTTCTTCTTCTTATTATTATTATTATTATTATTATTATTATTATTATTATTATTATTAAAAAGTAGATTGTGTACCTTCTTCGAAGGTTGCGCCTCCATGTGTCGTGCATAAATCGATGCGAATGTGTGTGTGTGTGCAGGGCTGCACGTGCTGGGCTACCTGCTGCTGTACCTGTCGGCGTGCATCAACCCGCTCATCTACGTCATCATGAACAAGCAGTACCGGCAGGCGTACAAGGCGGTCATCACGTTCCGACGGCCGTCGCGCTGGACGCTCACGCCCGCGCCCACGTCCAGCGGCGTCAACGGTAACTGCACGCGCCTCCCGTCGCTGCACGCGCTGCACCAGCTGCGCGCCCTCAAGCTCGCGCCCGCGCCCCCTAGCGCGCGCCTCGACACCAGCACGCACGACACCAGCACGCACGACACCGCGCTCGACAAGTGAACGCAGCCACTCTGCGCGGGGGCTTTGGAGCGCTCGAGATCGCACTACTAAACAAGCACGACACTTCCTTCGACAAGTGAACGCGCCAGCGTCGCTAGAGGAGAGCTTTGGAGGGCTCGAGCACGGACCACTAAACACGCACGACACCACTCACGACAACTGTATGAGCCTTCCCACTAAGAACACTGAACTGACCACACCACCCTCGATAAGTGAACGCACCAGCCCACTATAGGGAGCTTTGGAGAGTTCGAGCGCGTATCCCAAACACGCACGACACTACTCTCGACAAGTGAACGCGCCAAAGCCTCCTTCATCGGCTTAAGGGAACTTTGAGGTGCTCGGGCGAGCGCTTGCATGGCGTTGCGGCACGAGCCAAAGAGTGCATTTACAGGTCCGAATTTTGAGCAGTGAAGGCGAGTGCTTTCGCAAGGGTCTCGCTGGCGAGCAATGACCGGGACACAACGTTCCGTGTGCCGGTGAAACTTAAGACGTGTGACGTTTTGGGGGCCTTACTGAATGAGTTCCACTCGTGACACTTTCGGGCGAGTGACGGTCACAGTGATGGCTGACGGGGTCCTTATTTTATCACCGTACCTGCTTTGCATGGGGAGGTGTTTTCAGTTCCTAACAATAGTGCATTGACTGTACAGGGTTCCAAAGACAAACCCCAGTGTGTAAAAACGTCTCAAATGCCCACCAACGTTAACCTAGTTGGAATGAACATGTTTGTGTGAAATGGAGATAGAAGTTAATTGTCTGTGTAGTTATGTAACAAAAAAATGACTAAGATGCTGCACGAAGCTGAAGACATGTTTGGGTAGTTTTTCACTAACAGCATTCAGGAGCGTGTCACCTGCAAATGAATATCATTGTCTCAGAGCGGTAAAATTGAATGTGGCGTGTGCGGTGGTGGAGGGAGACCTGCATGGGAGTCCGCATGAACTCCACGCGCGAGAGCACGGGACAGCGTCGGTCAGTGCCGCGCAACAGCCGCCCTCGCCGTTGGCGCTAGCGAAGGAGACGGCGACGGGTCGACTGCTGGTGCGCCTTTTGTCTCTTCCGAACTGGTGAGTCGCCACTCGCATCTGCGGCCACACGGCGGCGCCGAGAGTCCAAAACATCCACGCGTTTATAGGAGCGTTTTACAGCTGATGGTTAGTGCTTGTAGGTTACGTTGTCTTTGGGAATGAAAAATCCCAGCAACACGTTTAGTATACGTTGTATGAAAAGTAATATTATTTTTAAATTGTATCATTAAATTGAAATTATCTTATACGAAGGTTAAATAAAATAACTGAAGGTAAGACTGTTCGAACGAAGCAATCACTGTTCCTTCAAGGAGCAGACTCTCGCTCCCAGAGATGTCCCCGATACCATTGAATTCCCCCCGCCGTTTCCCCTCCGTTCGGACAAAGCAGCAACTGCAGGCGCAGTGTATACTCTACTTTCTGTCTCTTCTGCGGTGAAACGAATTTTTAATCTATTTTGTGTTGACCCTGTGCGCTCTGGTTCAAGTATTGATTTTTAAATTTCATTTTACAGAATACCGCGACTAAGAGAAGTATTCCAACAAAAAATAGAAAAGGATCATAAAATAAGTGTTTTCACTAAATAGCGGACTATAATAATCACTATAATACATCCGTAAACTGAAAATTTGAAAATAACAAAATAAAACTGACCCAATACCGCTTTTGGTAACAATACAAGCATAATGTAATACGTGCTTCATTATAAATTCAATTGTCATTAAATTCAAAGTATGCGCTGATTGCATTTTCCCCATACCTATGTTTTTGAAGTTAAATATTTGTGAATTGAAAGTCTCTTTATTTCCACGATACACTAGTAAAATGAGTTATATGGAAGTATTATAGTAACCTACTCGTAAAATAGAGAGTTTATTGATCACTAAAACCAAACAAAATAACAAAACAAGAAAAAAAGCACTTTTGTCATAAGTATTGCATTGATTAGTCATTGATTGCGTGAACTATAACTGAGAATGATTTATGTTAACACAACTTTATATAAAGCTTAGCATAATGATCCTGTGATTATCTACTGGTTTTTAATTTTTTTACGTGCATGAAACAAAATCTCCAACGAACGGACTAAATTAATTCTCATGCATTCTCTTTGTTATTTTTTCTATCTTAACTGGATGTGCATGTGGCCGTAAACAAATAAAGCACTAACACTTATTATTATTTACCGACCTTGTATTAAATGTCATGGCAAAACTAAGAGAATAATGGAATCTTATCCCTTAACTATCGTATACAGCCTTCAGTAACACTGTTCCGTAAATAAGTCCAATCACGTTCTAACTTTACCGTTGAGGAAAGAGGTGTACGTTTTGGGAAGAGCTCTCCACATCACCTGAATACGTGGTAGGTTCCATACGTTTCTGGCCTCACTAACTTCTATTTTTGGTAGAAAGAAAAACATTATGGCCTTTTAAAATTAATAATCCTTCACTCCAAGATATTTTTTCACATCTGATACTTCACATTACAAGGACTTTGAAAAAAATACTCCGACGTTTTGTTCACAAAATGGTCACAAACTGCTTCTTTTCCCTCACACTCATCTGAAACTTTTCTACCCCAAAGATCTTGCTTCAGATTTAATAAGTGGAAGTAGTTGTCGTCGCTGGGTACCCAAACCAGACTGTAGTGTGAATGGTCCAATTCCGTAAAGCCCAACATTCCCAACGTTCCCAACATTCTTTGAAATCCGAGTAGAATGCACAGGTGCGATATCATGAGGAAGCTAAACACCCTGAGATTTCACGCACAGCATCCAACTCAAGCATACTAACTCTCTCCGCAAAACTGAGTGAGATGTCGGCTGCAAATTTATAGCATTACAACAATTTCATATATCTACTGCTCTGAAGGTTTTCTCATTAATGAGAGTTATCTTGGTTAGGCCGGAAAATTATGGAACCACCTATGTAGTTCAACTTCAAATCAATTGAATCTTTAAAGTTATAATTTAATTCTCCTTGAAGTACGTATTTTTTTATTTAGTAAGCATTAAAATATATCGCTTGTAAATGAAAAGGTTTAAGGCTAGCGACACACGAACGTCAAAAAACGGCGTACGTCGTTGATTGCAGCGACAGTGAGAATTTTTTTATTATATTCAAACGTCCGAGCCATCGTTCACAGATGTCCTCTCGAAATCATCATCACATTACAGACACCAATGTGGAGTGTGCTACACCGCCAGAAGGAATGCATACATACGCACTTCATTCGTTATTAATCTTTCAATCCATTTATTTTATGAATGGCAAAACGAATTCCGCTTGCTTAATGCATGTACAACGTACGTCGCTAGTTCTCCGGGTGTTCTTTCTCTACGGAAGGCTACGGAGTTGCAACGTCCGTCAGCAACAACGTACGCTTTCTAGCAGCTACCGTCCGTTGGCTGCAGCGCGCTAGTGTGCCGCGGCCCATATGCGTCCCCGTTAACGCCCGTCGCCCATTTGACGCTCGTGTGTCGCTAGTCTTATAGCAAAGGGAAATAGGGCCGTGGAGTGAAGGTGTGTGTCCTGTTGCAGAAAAGTCCCGGGAGCTGGCGAGTCGCACCATGATGTCGCACGTGTCCCTGGCGCTGTCCCCTATCCCCCTGCGGGACGACGGCGAGCCCTGACCTCTCGTCCCGTCCGGGACTGACCCGTCAGGGCGGACCGCGAGCGGAACCAAGATGTTTGGTGAAGTGAGCCAACGACGAGCCACACAGCTACACATCGCACCGAACGATTGTCGTCAAGCAACTGACCAATAAACTGTCAGACGGGACGCCGTCAACCACTACAGACGTTTCAATCCGTGCGTGTATTCTCATCTCTCGACTGAAACTCAAATATGTTTTCATCTTATTCATTTTTTTATATAACTATTCAGCGAGTCAGAATGTGGTAAATAGACTTTCCTGTGAACATTACAGATCTCATCAGTGCTACTACAAATCTAACGTAATTTAGAATGAAAACAGCCCAGAGTAAAAATAACAAAATTTATTTTATGAAAAACAACACACCAACCCTGAATCAAATATAAACTATCACTAAAACTAACTTCTTACACAAAAATTGTTCATTTCTGTTCCAAATTACTGTTTGATTTGTTGTAGCACATGTGAGGCTTACATACATCTAATCTACAACTGAAATGTCTTGAAAAAATAATTTTTCAACATATTGAAATCTCATTTATTTTCATTTTTCGACCAGCTCATCGTTTTTCATTTTACTCATAAAAGTCACTCGTTACAGTTAATTATCATAATATTGACATATAAATTCTAAACAAAGTGCATCTTTGGCTCAACGTTTACTAACTTACCCACATTGCAACTTAAATATTAAAATTAAAAAAAACCTAAGTGTTGTCTTAAATATCCAAATCGAATGCGAAGACTTGTTTATTATGAACCTTCAGAAGAAAAAGCATGTATGTAGGGAGTTGTGATGATTAAGTATTGTGCCATAATTGTACAAATTTGATCCAAAGACTATACTTATAAATTATATCCATTGTGCCTTCATGTAAACAACAAAGTATTACGTTGTTGATTATTCAACATGCCTTATTTATGTACAAGTATTTGATACCTGTTTTTCTTGTAGTAATTTAAATGAAAGTTATTGTAAAACATATTATAAATATTAAAACTATATCTTATTAATACTGCTTTATCATCAACGTAAAGGAACAACGAACGAGCGGGAAAAAGAAAAGATGATTGAGAAGAGGAATATTATAAAAATAACATCTCGAAACTTTGTAGAGAATTTTGTTGTAAGGGTAAATGACCAAGAGATAAGCAATCTGGTAAAAGTTGTCTCTTCAAGCAACACCTTTTAAGAATTATGGTTAATCTCACGAAGAGACTAAAACCAAAAAATGTAACATCACATTTCCCCAAAAAATGTTGAAACAATGTTTGTTTCCAAAGTTTCTTCCAGTAAAATCCTTGAAATATACAGTAAATTTAAAAATTAATATTTGGTTGTTGCCATAAGAAACCGTAAATAGTACAATATCAGATGTTTGAAATTGGTTCCGTAATAACAAATTAATAGTAAATGAAAAGGAAACGGTTTCAATGCAGTTTTACTTTTCAAATAAACAGCTGTGTTCCATTATCTCATTTATAACAAGTTAAAAGTTAACAAAATTTTTAGGTCTTTCAATTCAGTAAAACCTTACATGGAACGTGCATTTTCATTAATTGAACACTAAATTAAGTTTTTATTGCTACGCTTTGAAAATTCTTTCAAATTCAGTCCCCTTCCAAACCATTGAGATATGGCATAGTATTCTGGGGAAATACATCTTATTGCTCCCAGACTTTTAGATTACAAAAAAGAATTGTACGAATAATGAGCAAATCCCACCCACATGATCCTTGTAAGCCTCTCTTTATTTATTTAGGTATTTTATCATTACCTTGTCTCTTCTCATATGAATCAGTGGATTTGTCAAAAATGACTTACTCAAGGAGGTGAATATATTTTCAGCAAACACTGATGTTTATAACAACAACACTCGACATAGTATTCTCGGCTATCCGGGAGACGCTGCATCGTTGGCTTACGTATACACTCGACATAGTAATCATATTCATCAAGTGACAGTATCAACAGCTCATTACAAAAAATTCACAAACAATACATGTACATTGTTTTACAACTCCTTGCCAGATGACATTAAACGATTAAATTCGATGCAAAAGTTCAAGTTCCCAAGTAAAATCTTTTCTGATGCCTGTTTCTATACATTTAGAGAATACCGAACATCCAAAAGGAAAGTAATATGAATTTTGCAAAATGACATTTAGTATATTATTTACCATTTGGATTGTATAATTGTAAAGAACCTGTAACAAGTATTGTACTTCAGCTTCTGGGTCAACGATCTCCATCTCATTTGTATTTTCGTCCAGTTTCCCTGATCCTTGAACAAATGTTGAGATGACCCCTTGTTTTGTTCCTGGACATAAATGTAACTTCAATTTAACTTCTCCCCATAGCACGCCACACATCCTTTATAAATGTTTTTCATGTAAATAAATAAAATTTGTATACATTATTGCACTTGACAGTGGAAGTAGTTCAGATGACCTCCAATGAAGTTTCTCGAAAACTGTTTCCTGTGAAAAGTAGACTCAATACACTAATTTTCAGAAATGCTCAAGCATTATTTTCTAAAAAACGACTCAATTTTTTTTCAACTGAAATTTGCAAGTAGGACCAGCTTTTTTACTCTTCTATAATATTCTTAAAGTCATATTACAATTTTACCAAAGGGGACCAACATATTGAAAACACGCCCTTCAGGCGCCAATAGATAGCAGCTGGGAAGAGGTCGGGACAAATCCGAAAAGATAGCCTAGTCTAAAGAAGGAAACTAACTAGTACGAGAAAGTCTGTGCCTTTCTGTAACACCATTAGTTTCCAGAAGCATTACAATACTTTCTCTAAACTACACAAGCATTAAGAAAGAAAGTCAAATTTATTTAGTTCAAAAATTCTCCAGGAAGGAGGGCATTCCCAAATTTGCTCCCCAAACTATTTAAGCTGAAAAACTCTTTACTATTCTTAATACATTTTATTCTTGTATCAGGAAAGAACACACCTGCAAGTCAATATTTCTGAAGTTTATTTATTTCAATTTTTTTTTGTCTAAAAGCACTTACATTTTGTGATTTACAAAATATAATATTTCTGTATTCTTATCTTATTCTTCCACATCCATTTAACCTCTATGTGTTTATAGTAATTCCCCTAACTCACTTATATTCAATGCTTTATTAACTAAATGTCTTTCCAATTTTAACAGCGGAAGGAGACCCTTTTGTAACTTCCTCCAGGAGAGTCCCACTGACCTGAAATACCTGGGATTGGACCCCTTTCAGATCAAGCGGAATTATTTTGTTGTTATACCTTAATACACAAACTAGTAGTTATTGCAGTTATAGACACAAGTAACAATAACGCACGAGAAACTGGCCAAAGCAATAGTGGACAATAGTGTTAACGAAACATAGGTGCAATTGGGTTTGCACAGACGAATTTCCTCCTCTTCGATAACTAAATATTTGCCGAACCTATGTTTCACTATACTGCACTTAATAATTTATTGTAATTTTCAAAAACATAACCAGCAGTATTTTTTAATACCTAACAATTGTCCTTGTTGCTCCCTTCAATGAAGAAAGCAAAAACAATAACGAATTTCAGCTCCAGATCGAGTAGCATCCAGTGGCTTAGCATAGGGGGCGCAGCAGGGATGGCCCACCCCAGGGGGCAAAATTTCACAACTACTACAATAATAATAATAATAATTACAATAATTTGTAAAAATTTGAACCATTTGATTTCATATTTTTGCAACATCTATAATTCAGACTAATTGAAATGAGCACAGAATTTTTCATTCCTTATTCTGTGATGACTTCTATAAAAGAATACACAATACCAACATCTTGCTTGTTGTAATAACAGGCTACATCATCTGTACTGACTTGTAGAGATTTCATACTTATTTTGTGCTTGAATTGTTTACGACTAATATTATTGAAAATTGTATTGTTTTTGTACATATACATTCGACAATGTATTAAATATTTTTATTATGTAATTGTAAGTTTGTCTATCTTCTACGTTGTTCAAGCTGGGACATTTTAGTTTTTTAAATTGAAATACCTAAATATGAGGGCGGTGAAACATTGCCTTGGCAGCTGATACCCACACTATGCCACTGGTTAACTCTCAGATTACTGAAGTTCAGATTTGCAAGATTACTACATTTTAACTTTTGATCTTTCTGTTACACTTTCAATAATCCCAACTTCAGACTTAGATATTATTCAACGCTGTAAGTACAATTTTATTATTCCTACAAAAATGATAAAATTTAAATGGAAGAAATGGAGAATGACAGCTTTTACTTGCCCACAGTTGGTACTATTTTACAAATAATTCTTTATTTAAATATTGTGATTAATTACATACGTTATTGTCCGATTACAAAAAAACATTTCAGGAGAAAGAAAACATTAAAATACAGTAAATAACTGAAAACTATTTGGAAAAGCATATAATTTGTTCAGGACAAACATTATTGTATCATTATCGTATCAGTGTACCTGAAAATGAAAAACAATGACAAATACACAATGAGATGTTTATTATTAATGATAGTTACAATGTAGGTGAAAATAACGTGGAGCTCATGTGATATACATCTTGATACTTCACAGAATTACCAAATTCAAATACGGTAACTACAATTTCAAATTAACTAAACAATTAAAGCAGTACATAAAAAAATTACTTTAGTACAAATATCATTTTAATGAGATTTATAGCCGACTAGAATGCCTTTATATGCCTTACTACAAAAGGCATTAATATACAAGAGATTTCCCCCTTTTCTTCAAAGAACAATCCATCAAGGAGAAAGCATGACAAGCTTTGCAAGTCAAAGTTTTGTTGTTATTCACAGGCACAAATGTGGCTATAAACAAGCCACAAATTACTGGCCAATAAAAAACGGAAAAAATTCACAAAATATATGGATTGTATCTTTTCTTCAAAAATAAAGTGATTTCTTGGATGGAGATATTCATAATTAATTTTCTAAAAATTAACCTTTACATGGGAACGAGAGAAATAAAACGTATTCATGTACATTAACTGGACCTTTTATAGTTTCAATAGATGTTTTCTAAAGAAAATCTCTCTAACAATTGGTCGCTTTCCCAAAATACTGTTGGAACACAAAAAACCAATAATTGATATTTTGAGGGTGATCGGGCCACAAAATTTTTGTTTTCAATGGAATAAGTCTTTACCTGTTAAATTATATCAAATGCCACTTAGTATCAGATACATTCCTATTTCATGGATGGTGATCAACATTTATTTTTTTAGAATAACATTCCACAAAACTTCAATTTTAGAAACACCATTTTAATAAATCAAAAACTGAGAGTTCTAAAGAATTTTTAGATATAACTTCCAAGGTGATAATACTTATTGTTGATTATTGGGAAGCAATTGAAGTTGTGAGAAATTAAAATGCGCTTTCATGAAGGGAAAAAAAACAAAAGGTTTTTTAAATTACAATAGTATTCCAGAAAAGTGACTCTTGAGAAATCAAAGTTTTTCTTGAGAAATATTAAAACAATTATTGGGAGTCAGAACAAGACCCACAAAATTTTAACATCCTTAGGAATGAATCAAACATTAACCGGGCCATCAAACCTTTGGATGAGAATGCGACAAGAAAAAACATGTTAATAAAAATCAACTGGGGCTTACGTAGTTTTAATATATATTACCTAAGGAAAACCTGTCTAACAGTTTGTTTACTTTCAAGATATTAAAATCGAGGCATTAGCTTGAAGAGGGGCTTTAGAGATTATACACCTTCTTCTGGATAATGCAGAAATATATTCTGGTTACTTTAACCTGAAGCCATTCAATTTTCATTATTTTATTTTCTTTCAATCGGTTAGAGGAGCAAGTGTCAATAAAAACTGAAAGTGTCAATAAATATTCTTCAAAATATTCAGTTAGCTTCCTTTTAGAGGATATCATTGTTTATTACGGAATCCTTTTAGTTATATAATATATTAAGTTATATAATAAGTTGCATCAGCACTTGAAAATAATAAACAAGTACAACTGAATAATCTTTTTGATATAGACCATTTCAATAATATTTATGAAGTTCACCAAAAGAACAGCTTATAAGTCATTTTCTTTTCTTTGGAACATATGTTTTAAATGAAGAAAAATATAATCACATTCTTAATGAAATATACTTAAAAACTAATTATATTTTTAAATTACACCAAATAAGCGATTTAAAAGACCAGATAGTAGAATATGTAGATCAAAATCATCATATATTTTGTTTCTCAAAATTCTCAAAACACACAGGCCCTTCTTTTAGCTATCGCCTCAATTATTGGGAGTTAGAATAAGATTTACAAAACCCTAACGTTCATATGAAGGTATGGTTGGACCATAAAAAATCAACTCGGGGATTTGTCCTCCCTGGACACCTGTTCCGTTTGTACTCTCAGATGAGCACTGGAACTGGAACGCGACACACCCAACACACACTTCGCTCATCCCCTCCTGGCCAAAATAACTCAACTCCCCTCCATCTAGAATTGCTGATGCTGTGTAAAAAGATTCAGGTTCAATCTGAATAGGATGCTTAAAATAAACATGAAACGTGTTGCTCGAACCATCTGAGAAAAACTTGGTATCATTTTCTGCCATTATACGCCCACAACGCTTTAGTTCAATTTTTACATTATAGTCAGCTGCACCACTCGATGATCCGTACAGCCCAAAGCCCACAACAAAAATTCTTTTGTCAACACTGAACTGAATACTGTCACACCTTCCTCGGTATCGCCACTGGTTGCTCCTATATGCACAGGACTGAAACCGGTGGCACACTTGCGGTTGAAGGCCAGCCCGAGGTTTGGTTGGGAAACTGAGAATTGGTTTTCTTGAAGCAGTAAAATGTAGGAAAATGTCTATAGTTTCTTGTAATGTCAAAATACCGTTTTGCGCGGCTCCGTTAGCGAATTCTTCTAAGTTCATAGTAGGAATGCGCACCAAGTACAATGCGTTTCCAAGAACGATCCGCTGATTTTGTGGAGTTGGCTCAAGTTCTCGGCGTAAACATTCCGCTGATGCCCAAAACATAGCAGCATCAAACAGATGCATCTCTTTACAGTTCAACGTCTCACGAGCAAGCACCGATTCAAGAGTGTGAATGTCTATATCAGGAAAGCCATCAGATTGAAGGGCCATTTCTGCTTGAGCATCAATAACCTCCCAGCATCTCTGCATCAACTCGGGCTCTTCAAACAGCCGTGACTGGCTTAAAAGGAGGCAGGCATTTTTGGCAGTCAAACTGGTTTCCAAGTAATTAACACATGCTCGAGCAAGATGGGGAACAATGTACTTCTTGGCAACATATAAAGTGGCCAACACTGTATCAGCTTCCAGTTGAATTTCATCACAATAGAGATATCTTAACAACGTAAGAAAAGCAGGAGGCTCCACATCAGGTACTTCTATTTCTGCCTTATCTTCAGCTAATCCTCCATAAAACATGGCAAAAAACACAGAACTTCCTGTTGCCAGGACATACTTGTGAGCTGGAACTGTTTGAGTATGACCTGGACTTCCAACAACAAAGTGTATGTCTGACATGAACTCATTATTGAACATAGCAGCATTTCGTTCACAAACCGTGGTTCTTTGAGCCTGCCAATTTGGATCTCCAGTGGTAGCTTTGGAGCATACCAAACTAAATGATGTGTTGAAAGCTGAGTTACTACTCGGTGAAGCAACTGGAGATGTGGGAACACTTGCGGGCTGTGTTATCTGCACAGTCTCCTGCTGGGAGATGCTAGGAGATGTTGCCAGGCCACTATTACTCAAGCTCTCTCTATTCACCCATGCATTTGTTTGAGACACAGGAATAGCATCCTGTGACCTCTTAATTGGCTTAGGAGCAATTTTCGAATATAAATTCGACATGGCCATGCCAAATAATATTTTTAGTGCTTATTCTAGCATGCAATGAAATATCGGTTGTGTGCACGCAAGGAAAGTAAATTTCAATTGACACCGTATTTTCAACTTCAGCACAGTTGATGCTCGGAAATGGCACCTAACTTCGCAGAATAGCCAACCATTCAATATTCTTCGGAAATCTACATTCCCCCTGTTTTCCACTCAAAACAACTTGTTTCTTTATAACGCGTATACTGAAATGTCAAATACCGAAGCAGACATATTGCATAAACACCACCCAATATCCTAGGAGTAAACAGCACAAAATTTCGCAAGGAACTTTTCAACATTAGGATGGAGATGCCCTCATTTAGATAATAGATCTTAAAAGCAATTTTCAGGAAGTTCTGGCCAAGACCAATGCGGAAATATTGCCACCATGGCAAAGACAATCACACACGGCGGTGATTGGCACTGTTTTGTTCGTGCTTCTTCAGCGTGCAGCCTGTCCATAGAGACCTGAATATTTTGGACGGGGTTTTTCAACACTCCATGACAATAACAACATTGCATTTAGAAACCAGAGGCGTGAAACTTCGCGGTCAAAACGGGGTAATGATTTCTGTGCAATCTACAGCTGGTACGTACTACAACAATACAAGTCCTTACAACAACTTGTAAGTCTTACGGACGAGTCGCAGGTCAAGAATGATGCCAGACTTGGCTGGCCAATAGCAAACACCGAGCCGTAACGTCAACGTTAGGCTAGATTGATGGTGGGGGAACTGTGTTCGTAGGCCAGTGAAAGTAAGGTTCCCCCATTGGATCGCTTGGAGGACCACCAACCTCACAAAAGTTACAAACCAGAGCGGTTTATTTGAAATCACACCAATTGTTGCACGATTTTTTCTACGACAAGGCAGAAAATGAAGGATTCTTATCGAGTAATACACGGCAAATTACGATAAATATTTTGAGTCAGATGAACTCAACACTTTTCAAACCTCAAAATACAAACAATATTAATTCGTATACCTTGGCATTACACTTCCAGAAATTAAATTGATATTAATGATACATTGAACGAAAAAATATATAATTAATACATAAAGAATTTGTTTGATTCCAGCAATTATAAACGTCCTTTTACGTTTCAAGAATTCGTTCATTAAATGACATATTGCGGCACAGATGATGCATTTGCTGGGTGTGGCACGAATAATTGCGTCATCACACATTCGGCCAATCGCAGCGAGGGAATCGTAGGGAGGTACCGGTAAATCAAGAGCGCCTCTTCGGATGCCGAAGTACACGGAACATCAGACTAGTTTTTTCGCACATACGTGAAACATCATTTATACTTCGATTTTTCTTAAGTGGCCAATGACATTCGGTCATTGTTACACCTCCTGTCTTACAAAATGAATCTTTTTAAACAGTGCAAAGCACAGTTCTGAGTCTATGAGACCCGTTTAAAAGATGTTCGCAAATTAATTAAAAGGATTCATTTTATATTGCAGTAGGTGTAACAATGACCTATATCGCATATCGGCCACTATAGGAAAGCTTTAATATACGTAACAATAAAGGTGTTTCCAAAAATTAATGTTCATTCTCTTATGAACGTATTGTCGCAGCTTATTGTTATGTAAAGGATATAAAAGGTACACAAAAGTCTGCCCCTAATGGTAATCAAGTGTATTACTTGAACTGAGTGCCAACCAATCTGAGAACTAAAGAATATAAAATGCTGATCTGGCTGTGGTTTTGTCAAAAGCACATGCTGACTTCACCTCCTCTCCTCTTTGTCTAATAGTTTCTAATGTTTTGAAGAAAAAATGTCAAGACACTGGCACCTCTCACAAAAATAAGTAATAAATATGACATTAATATTCTTGTTGGCCCATCACGTAATTTAGTATCAATAAGAATTGATGTAAACCCGTGTGAATAAAACCATATTTTGTAAATGTTTTGCAAACGGTGCAACAACTCCAATGTCAGGTCCAGCTTTTTTTGGTTTACTAATATCCATCATAAAGTGGATTAAAGATTTATTTCTGATCATGAGCAATTACACACATGTTCAACATTACATTACATTACATCATTTACATCATATAATAGTACACTGTACACACATATATTGCACGAGTACAATAGAGCTATACACCAATAACCTCTAAACATGGAAGTTACATCCACCAGAGACAAAATTTATCTACAGTTAGGGAACATTTAATGACTTGTTTCTCAAATTACACAAAAAATTTCCATTACCTGTGTTGCATTCAAATATTTCAAGTTATAAATCTCATTGTTCACAATGAAAGCAACTCGGTGGAATGTTTGAGACATTGCAAGAAGAAAAACATATCAACAATTGCACATTGTTTATATTACAGCAGAACACCATGTCCCTTTAGGTTCTCTACAATCGTTCTGATGAAACTAATGTATATACATTCATGAGGAAGTAACTGTACAACAGATTAAAACAACAAGTCTTCGTCACCTTCATCAAGCATGTTATTAACCACGGGAACGTCCATGCCAGTTGCTAGAGCTGCTTTCTTCAATTCTTCAACTTTAGCTTCTGCTTTCTGACGAGCTATTCGCTTTTTGTCTTGGATTTTCTTCAACCTGTCCACAAGCAGAGAAGCAAACAAAATTTAATTACACACTTAACACTGAGTGTCGTGAAGTCAGTACGACTCAGCTGAGATCCCTCTGAAGGATTGTGACGCTGTTGGCAGACTCAGCTTTAGAAATTTCAGTGATGCTATTTCATGGATGTTTATGATATGCTGGTGTTTGTTTGTTTGTTTTTTCTCCCACGGGAAATACAAGTTTAGCACGATTTTATTTACAACTACTAAAATTATGCAATTTTCACATGTCATATACGGTAAAAATTGGCTCCTTTACCCCTATTGTCATTTATCGTTAATTTTTCATATTACACTACTGAGACAACAAATCGCTTTTCCATTACAAAATGTACTCGGTTTGGCCAGGAATCAAACCTTGGGCCCAAGACATGTTTTAGCCATTACGCCAAGACCCTCTTTCCAAATTTAGTTCTACTAGTAGACTCAGATATGCTTCATTATTGCAATGTCTTCTTTACACACTACTGGTCACGTAATTATTAATCACATTTTTACGCTACAGTCTGAAAAAATTCTAATAGATGAAAGACTTTCTCACGAGTATACATTTGTTTTATGTCCTGGTTTGGACATGGTTGTCAAATATCCTATTATTAAAACATTCAAACATTACAAAGTTCGGGCATGCATTTGCTATGACACTGCGCTCAAGAAATTTGATTACTTTTCCAAAATAATTCCAGCTGAAATTTCAAAATTGCAGGGACAGATACGTAGCCACAGACACTTAATACTTGAAGGTGCTGGGGTTACCTAGAGCTTCTGCTCAGGTAACGATAGAGTAATTATAACACATATTACCATCAACAATGCTCCCTCACATCCATTTAACTCAAACCACTCTTTAAACACTCCCGAAACTAAAAGTGTGATAATTTCAGCAAAATCAGTCGAATAGTTTTTAAGTCTAGGTGAGATAAACATATGCGCCTTCCCTTTCATTATTAAATAGATTTATCCTGCTCATTATGACCATTGGACATTCAATAGCACTGGTTAGTTTCTCCCAGTTTCGATTAATAGTTTTAATTATAAAATCTAATTTTTTTAAAAGTTTGTCTTTTCTTGTTCCTTTAGCAAAAAAATTCATTATTCAGCTGGATGAAAGTTACAGACTTATTTAAAGATAATTATTATATAAAGTAATTTGATGTTCATGACAAATAACTTTTGGTTGAGATATCCTGCACTTAAAAGTAAAAATTAGGATGTGGTTAAAGTGCAAAACAATTTCTTCTGAAAACACTTCCAAATGTATTACTTATATATACTTGTGTTTGTGTATTATTTATTTAATTTATTACAATTACCCAAGTGTAACATACTACTATATGAACCTTATCAGTTATAATCAGTCAGTTCATTACAAATAAAAATAAATTAATTCAAAAATACATCCTTCGATTGTGTGCGCCTCTTCTGCACTTGTAGAATGTGATTCAACCATGCAGAGGGTTGCTATTTGCTTGCAATACTAACTAAGGTATAAAAATTAATCATGATTATATTGTGACACTTAGGAAATAACAAGAGAAATAACCTATACACTAAGAAATTATAGTTATCACATGCATTAGAACTTAAAATGTACATAGATAGTTTCATTCTTTGTGTTTTGCAGCCTGTGACTGAAAAATTCGTAGTACCATAATGCACAATTTGGTGCGACAATTGTAGAGCATTTTTTATTAAACTTGTGTATAAAATTTGGATTTTTGAAATATATATGATTTCCATTCTATTTCAGGCATTTGACAGCCTACTAACACTGATTTTAAAAGTGTTCTCTTTGTAACAATAACAAACTTTACAAATTCCACTTACCGGTAAAACTCTTCTCGTTCAAGTTCATCCAATTCAGAAATAATATATGCCAGTGTACGCTCAATACGAGGAATGATCACTGAAATTGTAAGAATTGTCAAATTATTAGGTCATGATACAAATAGTCTTATGTGAGATAAGTTTTAAAAACTTTGTGCTTATTCTTGAACGTGTGCCACAACAGTTTCTTAAAACTTGAAAACAGAAGGGTAAACAATATTGTCTTGCCTCGACAAGCATACTGTATTTTATGAAACGTAGGCCCCTCTCACTGTTTTGCTGAAAATTTCAAAAACAAGTTTTCTTACGCCCCTCTGAACCTCTCTTCATGGTTATAGCAATTCCTCAATTCTAGAATCTCATGCTATATATAGATCCGTGTGCGTCAGAAGAGGATTCAGAATATCTAACCGATTGAAACATTGTTTGAAAATAAAAGACACGTTTTGAAAAATTAGTTTGCTTCATTTCAAGAGAATTCCTTCTTTCCATTTTTCTAGTCAATTATTTTAAAGAAAGAAAAGGGGACCTGTATTTGAGAAAATACAGCAAAAACTCACCATGTTCAATCGCATTGACACGCCTGTTTGTGAGTTTAATGACATCATCCAGAGTGACAAACGAGGTCTGCAGAGAGGCTAGTTCCACGAGCAACTTGATAGCACTCTGGTAGTTCTTCTTGAGTTTGGCCAGTTGCTGACCACCACGAGCCAGACCAGCCAACTCGTACGTGTCCGTTCCATCCTGATAACTCTCAAACACAGGCAGTGTAACTCCTAGAGGCACCAAAAGAATACTGCTTGCTTACTGCAATCTTGTGGAGTGCATTTGAAATACCCATACATGAAAATCTTAGGAATCTTTCTAAATATGATAAGGTGGCCACTCATTCCCTCAACAAAATTCCCTAACTTTCTGGTTGTCCACATTTTTTTTTTTTTTTTTTCCCTTAAAAAATTTTTTATCACTGATACGATTTGTACAGTATCTCACAGTATTTGAAGAAAATATTAAAACAAGTCTGAAAGATACCTGTCAGTTCTCTGATTTTGACGAGATAAAATACAACTAAAAAAACTCAATAAATAGAAATTAAGCAAAAAATACTGCCTACTAATTTTTTTAAGAATAATAATGTTTTACAACCATTTCCAAAACTTTCCCAAACTTTCCCAGAGCAATGAAATCCTCTAATTTTTCCCAGTTCTCCAAAAAGTGGCCATCCTGTATGATTTTTGAAAGATCAAAAAAAGTGAATGCTTTGAACTGAAACCAGCATACATATACTTGTTAATTACTCCAATATTAGTCTCGTAACTCAAATGTTGAACAACATTTTTGTAAGTGTTGATGAAAATCATAAACAGAAACAAATACAATGCAATGAGTAAAATAAAGACATATGATACTGGCAACAAATTACAAAATAATATTAACACTTAAATAATTTAGTTTAATTTTTTGACTTCCTATTGGAAGGGCTGGAAGCTGGATATCAAACATTACAACCATAACCTGATAGAGCAAATAACTGCCAGACTACTTAGAAAATAATACAAGTCATGTTAAATAAGAAAGAATGTATTTAAAGAAGACAATTTTACATCCTTTCAAAAAAAACTGCACTCTTTCTTCCTTTTTAGAATGTTTCACACTATAACAATTACCAAATATACATACATGCATTCATATATACATATTTGATTTCCCAGAAATGACTGACGGTCAAAAAGGGAGAACCCAACCCATGCTTCATGCTCATTTTAAAATACAAGAAAAAAAGAGAAAAGTTAATTTTTATTTTAGTCTCTATTTATTGTCCCTTGTAAAATTAGTGTGCCAAGTCTAATGAATTAAATTATTTGCTTTTGTAATTATATTACTATATCTCTCATGTATTAAATAAAACTCGACTAGACATGCAAGGTGCGTGATGAATTATGTGACAAATACATAATAATAAATTAAAAACAATTTTTCATCGCTAATTCGTGTAATTTTTTTTTTTTACATCAATGTTATGAACTTTAGTTCCACTCCTAGAAAATCAGATGTACATACCTGCAACATTATCCTTCTTGGTTCGAACTTTAATTTGTGCTTTGGTAACATTTTGCAAAACAACTTGGTTGAAATCTCCAGTGGCAAATTTGGCTTCCGCCAAGGAAAACGCTGCCTCCTTCATGACTTCGCCCATTAGGGTCTTCGTCTGAAAACAAGACAAAATCCACAATCTGACTTGTGTTCACACCGCTGCCAGGGGGAAGGGAGGAGGATACACCTTTTCAATATCTTCAAGTACAGTAGAACCTCATTAAGCAGGATCAAATGTGGCCAGGGTCAATTCCAGTTAACCAAAGAATGATAAACCAATAAACGATAGAAAATGAACATGGATTGGTTGGTTGGTCGTGAGCAATTCCCGGCGTGTCAATTTCCGAGCTCATTACTTCCGCATGTGTAGTGCATGATTTTTTTTTTCTCCTTGGGAGGTGGCAGTGATTTTCCTGTGTTGGATGGCAAGATCTGGCACCAACATACCGTCAGAGTGCAGATTTTCCCCTCAACAAAGAAACCCGCCCTAGCCGAGACAAGCTCTAAGCTCCCACCCTGTCTCCCGGCACGGGTGGCAGTAAGGTGCATGTAAGTGTGTGTGTGAGGTGTGAGGGTAGGACAAGGAAGAGAAAGGAAAGATTGGGTGTGGTCCATTTTTTAGGACTCTGCTCTGGCTTTCGCCTGAAACCACAGAAAACCTTTAATCAGAGCAGCCGCCTTGAGAATTCATCCCCGGATAGTGGCTGAATTCGATCGTGATGTGTTGAAGATTCTGTTGTGAGTAGAGCCCCAGCTCCTCCCGGTCAGAGGCACTGCAGTGACATCATTTGACGTACTGAGCCACCTCTCCCAGTATGAACATGGACTTACCTAACCTATTTAATTCATTTTGAATATTTTTGTTGGACACTTTCACCTACAACACATTGTAATATGTATTTACAATGTACACAGTATATATGAAAGGAGGGGGGGAAACTCACCCACTAGCAAGTGAATTCCAGTAATACAGAGAATACTGATGCATAGTGTGTAAAACAAATCTTAATTTACTATGCTTAACTCTTTTTTTCCACAACTGGTCCAGCTCAAAGTGGTCCAAGTTAACAAGGTTCTATTGTAGAAAAAAAATTAATTTTTATTTCCCTTTTTTACTAAATAGAATTTCTGAGTAACATAATATAACAATAATTATTTGTTTAATAATATTAAAACTGTGAAACAATAACATGCTGTACATGAACATATTTTTCTGGCCTTCATTAGTTAAAAAGCCAAAAACACATGGGAAGGGAATATTATCAAGACCCTTTTGAACTAGCAGGTAGATATTGGAATTCCCTCCGAGCCTGCATTTTACAAATACAACGAAGAGAATCAATAAGACTGCTCTATTTCTGCGCTACCATCTTTTCCAAGCCTGCCGTCTTTTAGGTTTATTGAGCGAGTTTATTATTACATGCACACGTTATGTAAAAATGAAGTGTCAAGACATATCTCATTGACAGGGCCATGATGTGAAGACATTTCAGTCACATATATACATGTGACATTTTATTACTGGAATCCATGATTATGAAATAGAAAAAAAGGTACCATAAATACCAAATAACTTATCAAGAAGTCTCCATTCACTTACTCAAAAAATCACTTGTAGACCCAGGGACAATATACGCCAAAATGATTGTGGCAGTCAACTGGTTAAAGGAGAATTAGAGAATGTTAACTGTTCAAAGAGAATTTTACACAAGCTGTTGTAAATAGGGCATCAGACAGCTAAGTGTAAATAAAAATTTGATTGGTGTAGAAGAAGTGAAATAATTCCAGAGCAAACTCTTAGTAATAGTAGATAATAAAGGTAATAAATCAACAAAGATAAGTTTGTCAGGTGGCATCCACATTCCACATAACTGTCATCTTGAAGATAAATTATAAGAAAAATAATTAAAAAATATAAGGTCCCAACAAGTTAGCACAAATAACTTCAGAAGGAAACAATCATTAATAGTTCTGCACAAAACAGCAGTGTTGCTATCTACACAATACTTATTTTACTCTTCATTCAAAATTACGTAAGCATAATGGAACACAGTTCCATCATACAATATCTGATGCTTGACAAAAAAGAAGTATAAGATAAAATATGCCTTTTTTTCCTTTCCTAAAAATCTTCACAAGAGTTGCTTCATTTTTGAACGTATAAAGACACATTTAAATGTACTTTCACTCAAAAAAATAGTCATACCTCAATTATTTTCCCCAGAATTGTCCGGAATCTCATTTGAAGGGCATCTGCTTTCTTTTTCAGCAAACTGTGACCTTTTTGAGCTCCTTTTAATCTAGCTTTCATCAGCATCTGTGCACTGCAATGGACATTGGTAATGGAAAAATAAAAAAATAGTTTAAGAAACAATCAAATTGTGTTACATTAATGAAATGATGTATTAGAGAAAATCTGAGTTTCTATAATAGAATTAAATAGTCCAAAACTTCTTGATTCCAATGTAATAAAAAGGATTCTTCACACTTGCCCTACTTGAGTTTTATGTCAGATACTAAAAAAATTAACAACGACCAATTAACGTTCTAGGTTTTAAAGGAAAAGTAACATACCCTCTAGAAGGGAAAATCGCAAGTCTCTCTTTTCCAGACATTTTGATAAACTATAGAACGAAACCTCTTCAGCAGCTTAATCCTCCCTACAGTCCTGCTGAAGTCAGCTGACTTATTCAGGTGACATCACGAAACAAATGACAATTGACATTTGGAAACTCCTAGTGGTTTCTATCCTTTACTCTCTGTTAGGCGGCTGTTTCGATATCGGCGATCACATCGCCATCTCTGTTTGTGTACGTGAACCAGCAGTTCAACACAAAGTTAACGATTTTCCTCGTTTTATTTGAATAAACAATTAAATTTATTTCATTTTAAGAGAAACAAAAGTGTTAATAATAGATTTATAATGCATGGAAATAGTTTTAGCAAATGTCTGACTATTCGAAGTGACTTTTCTTGATAACTCTGTGGCTCTTACTTCAATGACATTTCTGTAAACCGTATATTTTGACGTCATAGCTTTTTCAGCCGAACCAGAGGCTGAGCTCTGGGTCTGTTCACGAAACATTCAAGGAGACGTTTAGTTTGATTTTCAAAACGAATTATTCAAAGAATTTTGTCTGAAATTAAGTTTCCCGAGTAAATCCACCAATACATATTAATTTAATTGTTATCATATTTTCAGAAAGGCGATTTCATTGAAAGAACGTATTAAACATTAAAACAAAATGTTTAAATAATAAAGCAAATTTTTAAGAACTTCTTTTAATAATAATGCATATCTTCTCATTGACAAAAGATACAGACTTTCTTCAGTAAGTTTGTAAGAGTGACAGATGTGTCAATTGGAAACAACCAATCAGCTTTTTAGTTTCGTAAATGTCGGGTTAGTTCTAAACCTTATGTGGTGTACGCTCTACGGTGCTACGATCGTGTAGTGCAATTGAGCATCAGGGCAAATTGCTGTCTGTGTAGCTGTTGCGGTTAGAATAATATTTAAGATTTTCTAATTGTTTAGTTTGAATTAAACTAGTAAAAGGTGATTCTGCTAAGATGGTATTAGCCGATAGAAATTCAGAAACCGTTAGAAACGGAAGAAGATCTCGTGGACCGAGCCCAAATGGTCATGCATCCGATTCCAGCAGCGAAGAGGAGGCTGGTTCGTACTTAATTTTAAATGTTTCAGACTCTGAGATCTTGTACTCTCTTGTTGGCGCATGTTATGTTATTTACGTGCCATTTGGCAGTTATTGAGGAATTTTGAATGAAAAATCCGCAGTGGTTTTGATATTTGAGATGAAGACACAGAACAGTATATGATTTGGTTTTCTGTTTGTACTGCGTATTTGGCTTCAGTCAGAATGATAAATATTTTATTTAAAATCTGTACTGTCTGTGCAGAAACAGTTTTTGAGTGTTTAGGAATTCTTATAGAGCTATAGATTATTGTTTTATAACTATAAGAGTAGAATTTGAATTTTTTGATGTTTATGGTACCCCTATTTTCTGTACTTTTTCAAGATAGAACTGTAGAAAGAGTATTCTATTCTTTCAGAAGAGAAGATTCGGGTTGGAAGGGATTATCAAGCTGTAGTTCCGGAACTCATTCCTGCACCGGGTAAGTTGGCTGTTTAAATTTTTTTGATGCTTAGACAGTTTCCTTGTGTGTAGATATTTTAAATAATATCTTTGTCCTTATTTCTAACAACTTCACATTAAATGGTTTTGTGCATATTAGGACAAAATGTTTATGGTTATTTGCTGTTAATTTTGTATAGTGATGAAAGTCAGATAATATCTGTTTGGAAAAATAATTCAGATTCAATTTGACTTCAGAATTTTAAGTAAAAGGCTATTTTAATTTCAAGTTTTATAAATGTCATTATATAACTGAGAAATTTCTATTTGGAGTAATTGAATGTATGCTTGATTTTTGAATGATTGAAGAATGCTTGATTTTTCACTTTCTCTTGATTTACCTTCAATATTATGCTGGCTACAGTAGTTACTCATGGAAAATTCTGATGAGATTGATAAAGCAAGTTGGAATACAAATCATTCTTGGAATATGAAGGTCTGAAGATGTGAAATTAATTTAGAAAGGATGTGTTTGTAGTTGGACTTGTTTCATTGTTATCTTCACCACCTAGGTCATAAAAACAGTTGATACAACTCCACTTGGATGCTATAGATGAATTATTAGTTGAGAATTTTTTTTAGTCCACTTTTCACAATTTTTTTAAATTACTTTTTTTGTTATTATGTATGCTTAAAAATTAATTTGAGTCTTTTTAATTAGCATATATTGGGAGATTTTTAAGTGAAAAAATTACAGGAAAAAAATTCATAATTGAACAGAAATACCATGATAACTTGTAACGCTTTGTTGTATTTAAATAAAGGGTTTTTTTTTTCCTTTTTCTCTCTCTCTCTCTCTCTCTCTCTCTCTCTCTCTCTTTTTTTTTTTTTTTCCCCACAAAGTTTTGGAGCTAGCCTCATGGCTTTGTGATTAGTTTATGTATCTTTTGAAACAACTTCTTATTCCAAAATAAATTTATTCTAAATCATTGCCATTATTTTCAAAAATATATTTAAACATAATTTTTACACTGCAACACTTAGTTTTGAACTACAACACTCACCCCCTGCAATACTCAGTTTTGAAAGCTATCTGTGCAAAATATAGGTCTTTTCTGTTTCTTTTCAATATGGATATTTCAGATTGGTACTTTCATGTTCCCTACATGGCAACAAGCTATACATAGTTGGTGCATTGGTGTTGCTCCCAATTACTAATATAAGGTGATTCTTTGTGTTAGAGAATTTTCAAATTTTTGCTTTCAGTATTTCTTTGCAAGAACCGCCTTTAAATACAAAATAATTCTAAAGTACTGTCTATGTTATTGAAATTTAAGTTTTGACTCGTATTTGTTAGTTGTGGTATTGTTGGTGTTTACAAATTGTTATTGTTCACAAACTAATTTTTAATTCGACCTTTACTCGTTTTTATAATACAGGGAGCTGAATTCAAGCAGTCGGTGAAAGTCAATAGAGATTTGAAACATGAAGTAATGAATTTCTTTAGAGAAGATTCAAATGCAGATATCTTAAGTGAACCGATTTAAATACAAAAATAATTAAGCTTGTGTATATCACAATGTTGGTATCTTCAAATGTGAAATTCCTACAACTCATTAGGAATGCTTACTTACGCTTTCCTACTAAAGTGAAATACTTGTTTTCTGTAGTTATTTTAGAAAAGAATTTGGCCAAACAGTTTCTACCATAAGGAATTAATTGAATTTCATTTATTTTTAACATTTTGCTTGACGCTTCTATAATCATCTTGAGAATATAGACTTATATCTGTAAAAAAATTGAATGTATACATTTACAAATATAAACTGCTTACAATTCATCACAGAATCATATGTGAGAAAGGATCTCATTATGAAATTGTTTGTAAGGCTTGTTATGAAGTTGTGTGCAATTTAGACGATTTTCAAGAAAAATTGCAAAAATCAGCTGTGACATTCCAAGTTAAAAAAGCGGCAAGGAGATTTGGAAAAGATTAAGATTGGGAAAACTGGAGATTTTGCTGGTTCAATAGAGATGAACTGCAGAATTGTGCATCTGTACGTTGTTCCAAACTTCTTTATCTTGTGCTTTGAGACACTTGTGATTATGGTTTCTTTGTAACATTCAATAACAGCCGCTTTTCCAGTGAACTAATCTTTTCTTGTTGTCTTAAACTCAGAATTAATAAATCAAAGGAATCAGCTGTGTGCTTTTCTTATGTATTTATTATGACCAGTGTCAAAATTTTACCTCATTTAAAATATCCAGTGTACGAATGAAACTGAAAAATACCGAAGTTTAGAACCGAAATCTAATATTTGCTTTATATTGCCCATGAAAGATCATGCTGCTTGCAAATGACAAGGACAGTAGTGTGTCAGTGTGCTTTATATGTATATGGACACAACTATTCAGCCTGCCTCTGCTGAGACCCAACTGTTAATTTCAATGAAAATGGTAGAACATATAGCAGTTCTTATGTTTTTGAATAGATTTATCATAGCATGTGGAGCAAAAGAGGGGGAAAACTACATTCCGCTCATTTTTCTCCCAGAAGTGAACATTAATTATATCTTTTGTAATGTTGAATGCAATGTATTTACTATGAAAAATGAAAGAGCAGTGCATAAACTTCAGCATTTCTGAGAAAATAATTCAAAATTAATTATTAATCAATTTGTTAGTAGTTGATAAACAAGGTACTGAGAAATATTCATACTCTCACTATACTCTCAATATTTATTTATTTACATAGTATATTCCCCATTATTAAATTAACTCATTTTGGTCACTCATAGTAACTTGACTCATTGTGGCTAGGATTGTAAATATGTTTTGTTGTTTTGAGCCTCAGTCTTTTGGTGTATATGGCTCTGTGTATTAATCAAACTTTCTGGTTTGAGTATTTAAAGAAAATTATTTCAAAATATAGTAAATGTTTTCTCATTAATGCATTTTGACGATCTGCTAACTAATTACTAAAGTTTATTATTTTCTTAAATTGAAATAATATTCACTTTATAAGACTAGAGAAAGTAGAATCTTCACTAAAATTCAGATAAAAATGTATTTTAAATCTCTTCAATACATGAATTTCAAGTGAGTTTATTCAATAAGAGTTCAGATTTATTGTATCAGATGTAAACCAGTATAGAAAGTTGAATTGTGTTTAATTGCAAGAAAGAATACAGAAGATACTTTGTAATGTATGATCGGTTACTTTTGTAGCTGGGTTACCTAACAGGCCTGCAGGGCTCTATGGGTAAGATCTATGGAGATAAAGGGCCTGAAGTGAAATGTGTGATGGAAAGTTTGCCAGGTACCTATTCCAGAATAAAAGAATTAAATTTCATTTACATTATGCGAGTAATACGAATGGGTTGATAATGGAACACAGACATTAGAAAGATGTAAAACATTAAATATTGTAGAAATAAGGCTTGGATTAAATGGGTAGAATTCAGTGAGAGAATGAAGAATGAAAGACTCCAAACCTAGCATTATATTACAAGTCCTCAGGACAAAAAGACATTGAAAGGCCAAAGGAAAACGGGAGATCCACTGCACAAACTGGAACAAGCAGTAGGTCTAATAATCTGTAGTTCAAGACATCAATGGTATCCTGTACTAGGTTATTGACACCTTTATTGTTGGTTTAGTGCCATAAGCAATGTATACTGTATGTATAAGTATATCAATCTTGGCACTGCCCTGCCAAAATTTCAAATAGTTTAAAATATGTAGTTTCTTAATTGGAAAAGTAGGGAAAATATTCAAAAGTTTTTTAGTTTGTAAAATAAGGTAAAGCATTCAGAGATGAGCATAAAAAATCATTAGCAGAATTATATTTATTTTAGTCAATTTTTTGTTTCCAAGCTTAACTGGTTAGTGTATAGTTCTGGGAATTCACAAATTGTGAGAATTGTCAGAAACGTGAAATATGTCTTGCCCAATCATTAATTGAAAGCATTTCAAACAAATTTTTGGGGATTTTTCAAATTGAATGTTGTGGAAATGCAAGTAAACATTAAATTTGAAAATTGTATCTGCTTTAATACGAATTCTCTTGTGTTTATAAATAAAATGAATATAAATTGGAAATGAATTATTATTTTTTCTTACATAATTGCAAATATTTCAACAATTCATAAATAACTATTGAATTTAAATAAACAATACATATTCACAAATCTGTCATAATGTGTATTTTAATAATTTCCATGAAGTTTTGTAAGCACCTACCATATATATTTACTTGTGCCCGAGAGAAGCATCTTTACGTTACAGAATTTGTTGTTGGTTTTGCAGATAGACGCCCTGAACAATGTGCAGAGCGAGCATTACTTGTTTGGTCTCCAACAGCAGAAATCCCAGACTACAAATGTGAGTGTTCTTATTTCAATCTAATTCAAAAGAATAAGACCTATAATTCATTTTTGAATGCACTGTGTTGTAAATTTTGTTTTGTATTTTCTGCACTGCATGCATTAATTTGCGAATAGAAACTAGCTGGTGGAAAGTGATGTATTACAGCTATAAAGCATAGATGAGTGTTGTTATTATTATTAATTTATTGCATTATTCATCAATGAAATCCATTTTCAAACTCTTGTAGGACATTGAGTGCTTATGTATATTTTAGGAGTAATTCTTCATTAAGTTTTATTTTTGTCAACTCTTGTCATGCTACAGTCTCAGTATCTAGGGCTAAGAATTATATTCAAAATGTTTTATTTACCAAAACTGAAACCAGTACTACATTCTTAGAAACAATTCAATGCTTTGGCCAAAGTTTAATTAATATTTCAAAATTGAAGAATTAATTTGAAATGAATTTACTGAACTTCGGTTACAAAGTGAGACAGTCCCAGAAAGATAAAAAAATTCTTCCCCTTACAGCAAGACAATGGTATGCCACGTATTTCTCTGAACCAGTCTTTAGTTATGTTGTTTTAAAAACTAATTCTCCTATGTACTAGTGACATATCCCACTGCTAAAGGGCTACTGTATTGGTAGTTTCTAATAGTTTTACGAATGTTTATCAAGTAACCAATTTCTAAATTATTAAATCCTGTTTTTCTCAATACCCTTCTTGGGGCTTATCATGATTTTGCTGTGAGGAGCAGAATCGGTGCAAACAAGAATTCAGAACATATTTTCAGGATTTAATAACGTGCATTTTTCTTTCTGAACCCCTTCATTTTTATATGAATTAGTTGCCCACAAGATGATTTAAATTGAAAAATAAAGCAGAAACCTTCATTTTCCATTTTTCCGATAAAATAAACACTTTTGGAATGGTGTTTCTGTATTCAATTGATTAAAACTGAACTTGATGGAAGTACTCCTACTGGTTCTGAAATCTGAATGAAATAAAGGTTTTGTTTATTACTTATGACATTATTTTTGTAGAATCTCAGCTGTTACTGATTAATTGGTTTCATTTCTTGTTAAGATGTGATCAAACAAATTTTATAATTGTTCAGAGTGTGTTTAATGTTTACGCTAGAACTGTGATTTAAAATGTCACTTTTTTTATATTGACTTCTTTAATTGATTCACTAGACGTGTCTTTTCTCAGTTTGCGTGTGCGTAGCCTACTGTAACAGTTAATGGCTTTCTGTGCACAGTGGACGAGTATATTTCCCTAGCAAAGGAGAAATATGGTTACAATGGGGAACAAGCCCTCGGCATGCTTTTCTGGCACAAACACGATCTGGAACGGGCAATTCTTGACCTGGCAAACTTTACCCCCTTCCCAGACGAGTGGACAGTGGAAGATAAAGTGCTTTTCGAACAGGCCTTCCAATTCCATGGCAAGAGTTTCCATCGGATACGACAAATGGTAAGTAACAATCGTGTAGAATTCTCGTACGTTGTACCATCTCCTTGGACGTTTCAGGCACTTGATCACGCCGAAGTTGGTTTTCTATTTACACGCACGCAATAGCAGCTGCTTTAATCTCCCGTGTCGCCACAAACTTGGAGGACGTCAATGAAGGGAATCCTGAGCGCATCTCCCTCACATTTAGGTCAACATTCTGCGACATTAAAAAGTAGCTAAACGGTGTAGGTATCGGTCAGAAAATATTAAAAGTGTAGGATCGAAATGGTATTCACTTTTGATTGCTCGCGAAGGATTATGCAGGGCGCATGTTTGCATGGGCAGTAACTCTGCCGAGGCCCAACTGCCACGCACAAAGACTGGTACGACGTATTGTGTGGGTGTTCTAGCGCAGATCTGGTTATGAGCTATGTTCAATTGTTTGTTAACGTCAACTCAAGCTCTGCTTACATACTTTATTAAAACAATAAGTCCGTTGACTGGGCGCCAGCTTGACGTTCAAGCCCCCTATTGGATGTAGCGTCAAAGCTGACGAGTGTCAACGGACTCCATGTTTTAATCGAAGAATACCCCTAGGACCAATCATTGAATTATACAAAACATTTATTTAACGGGCAAAAAACAGTTGAGAATTGTGTGTCATACTTTGGGGAGAAGTGCAATCTTCATTATGCCACATTTTTTTAAAATTTACACAAGTGCACCAAAACATTGACATTATTCTGTTATCGTAACGAACGTCAAGACATAGGCTCACTTCAGCAAGAACATGGGGAACGACAAAATGAGCGGATTCGGGTGGTACAAAGACAAAGGTGAGCTGCTCGGGCTCACCGATTTTTGCTGCGTTGCGTAGCATCAGACACACGAAATGAACCACGTGACCACGTCATCTGGCACTTCATTTGAAAAGCCAGACCAGACGCTGGCCGCCATGTTGCGTGGAGAGCGACAAGCGTTGAGAAACATTTTGAAAGTGGCATAAAATGATAATTTTCCACAGTGACCATCCAAAAATAACACGATGAAGGCTGAAATAAATGATGCAATTTAAACAAAAAGTTTCATGTATTCAATGACTTGTAATAAGGGTGATAATTGTGGTGTCTGGTTGCATTTAAAATTCCCGCTAACGCCTCGTAAACGGGTGCCTGAAGCTCATTGGCTGAAACCGGATAGGCAGCGCAAGGGCTGACCTATGACTTTCCACCATGGTGCTTATAATTTCACATTTTAAGGCAAATTGACGCAACGCTATACGTGTCTAATTTCATGACGATGCTCGACCTACACGTTTAACATAAAACATCCTTAAGCTTGTCCAACACATACTTTCCAACAGGTTTTAACTCGAACTTCTTTTTTGCTTTGCTACGTGTGTTGGTGTTTATAACGAGGCTCAAGTCTTCGGACTATTGTCTGAATAATATTTCTGTCCACTTGACAGTTACGGGTAGAATAGTGATGTTTTTACTTATATTTCGATTTAAACATAGTACATTGACTTATAATCAACTGTTAGGGTGTCATTGAATTGGAATGACACTAATAGCTGATTTAGACTGTCATCCATGATCCCTATTGGATGACACCATAACATCTGATTAAACAGCTTGAGCCTGCCCAATTCATATTGCTCCAAAATACTTGCTTAATCAATTAAAATGCCTCATTTGAATGGGGAAACAGTCATCAATTGCACCACTAATTCTTCACTTTCATTCACCCTTTTCAAGATGTTGGAGATGACATTTCTTCACAATGTATAAGAAATAAAATATCTCCACCCACAATTATGGGGGAAGAAAATACTTTCTGGACTCTAGTTGCATGACAATACCAGGAAAGTAGGGCGCCCGTGCTCTGATGCTGTTTTTGTTGACAAGTGACCAGCACATTGTGCACCACCAGATCTGTACAAGAATATCCCTATATGCTTATGGAATGGTTTGACTCTCCCAAAATTCTTTTCTGACAATTTTTGCTTATAATTATTTCAGGTGTCTTGGTACCAGAAATTTGGGGTTTTGGTCTTCCCCACATCCATCATTTGTGTTCTTTGGTAGTAAAACCCAATTGCTTTTGTGAATTATATTGATAACCTATTTTATGGTGCTAACTGTTATTGAGGGGTCTGAATTTTAAACTGAAAATTACAGTTCCAATATTTTATGTTACGAAAAGTAACCAGATTTATTATTGTAATATTGTTCATTGAAACATTCAAGAATGTAAAACAAAAACTTTTTAATCTAAATTATATTTCTGATTAAAATTGTTATTAAACCCAAAACATAATGATATACAATTAATTTTTTTTCTTGTTAAATTTATCATAAAATTTTATTTCTAATAAAAATACTAGCTAGGAATTACTTCAGTACATTATTGTAAGGTTTTCACTGAAAAGTGAAACAGATCCTCTTCTGGTTTTTACAGTGAAAAATTGCTTGATTAGCTTGGGGGAAATCAGTGACGCTTTGCTTTAAAGTCTAAATTTTAAAATCTTCAAATTCTATTTAAAGTACATTTTTTAAGCACAATTCATAACACTGTAGAATTCCATTTTAAGAGAATCTGCTTATAAAAGTTTCCTGTTTGTAGTAGAGTGAATACATTCTTCAAAGTATTTTTCTCCCACAAGTTAGATGGAAATAGGAAGAACGCATTTTTTTCTATGCAGAGAGTTAAGAGATTTATTTGTTTTAGCTGTAGAGTACCTTTGACAGAAGAGGGAATTATTCCCAATCACAGAAATACCCTTCAAGATATATCGTTCTGATCTGTGAAAGGGATAAATCTGCTCCCACTTTTCCCTGTGCGTTGTTTTGTTAAAGGCGAGTGGTCTCCCTGAAGAGCTATCCATTAGAAAGGGGTTCATTAGAAGTTTCTCTGTAATGAGAATAAAATCGTAATGAAAAATATTGAAAAGGAAACAATTTAAAAAACATACCTATATGAGATGTAAAAGAAATCTTTTTAGTATCAATATGGTCAATTAATCAAGTGGTAAATGTGTGTGTATTTGTGCAGCTACCAGACAAGTCAATTGCCAGCCTTGTAAAATACTACTATTCATGGAAGAAAACAAGAAGTCGCACCAGCTTAATGGACAGGCAAGCGCGAAAGCTTGCAATCCACCGAGAAGAGGGAAGCGAAGGCGGCTCGGAATTAGGCTCCAACACTGACTCAGACTCTGACGAGAAGGTATTTGAAATGTCATTTGTTTGAAAATTGAATTAGTTTGTAATTCTTTAATTTGAACTAAAATATCCAAATTAAAACTGAAATAAGCTAGCTTACATATTTTTACAAAAAAATGAAAATAAATTTGTTGTCTCTAAGTAATTTCTAAAAGGGGTCAAACACCTTCATAACTGTGGTATTTTTGTGCCCAATTTGTCATTTAAATATAAATGAAGTAAAATTAGAAAATTCGAAACAATATCTTTATTAGTGTTACATTATGTGCCCCCTCTCCCTCCTTCCCTCTCTCTGCCAAAACTAGTTTCTCTGTGAAATTGACCCTTAATATCATCTGCATATCCATATCATAGCAGCAAACTTGTGACAGGCATTTTAAGATCACTTTAATGAAAGTCTCCAATTCCACAACAGTTCTGTTTTCCTCCAAAAATATCAATCTTGAACTTGTTAATTTGAAGAAATAATTTGAGATTGTAATTCATTAAAGAAATTTATATTTGATTTGATGTATCTTCTTAGCTTGTAATTTTTTTATTGTAGTCTTGAATAATTGGGTAAATCATACTTTTTAATTAATGCTTAGTAATTTTAAATATGCAAGAATGATTATCAATTACTGTTAGTAATTATGTATTATTGGTTAATTTGCCTGTATGATAATAACAAATAAACAGTATTGAATTTGTATCTAAAACATGGTTATTTCCTTTGCAGAAATGGACAATCCATCGAGGCATTCGGCGTAAAAGTGGATCTCCCCCGCGGCCAGCGCAGAACAACGAAGAGGGGGCAGCTCAAGTAAGTAACACAGTCAGAAGTATTTTAGTTCAGCTTTGCATATTGCTGAGCATTTATGTGCTGTGAAAAGCCCTTTTCTAAGCTGCTTGAATGCTCTGTATGTAGCGTCTATATTGTAACTCGATGTAGGATACCTTTCTTCTGCAACTCAAGATCATGTTGTTGAATAGTATAGTAATACAGGAAATAGTATCAATATTCATAGTGGTTCAGTTTCTGAGCCATACGTTTTTGAACGAGACCTGAAATATTTTAGGTAATTGTAAATGAACATTTTGACTCTTGTTTTCTTGCTGCTCAAATGCTCTGTGTTGTAGCATCTATATTGTAACATCAATATATATCAAAGTAAAAAAAATGGTTCCTTTTGGCAATGACTTCTTTTCTTAAGAATTACTTTTATATTCTTTGATTTCAGCAATTATTTTAGTATTATTCTCATAAAGACAAATTTCTCAGTCACCCATAGAAGGAAACTACTTTGTGAGTGGTCCAATTAAAATAAAAATGACATTGACATTTATCAAAACTATTGATTACAGGGCTTCAAACGTTAGATTCATATCTACAATTGGATTCCGTTGTCAACTAATGAATGTCATTCTCCTTCATCTTTTATTTTAGCCATAAACTAAGAGAATGGGAAGGCAAATTGGGTGGTCACTGTGCTAGATGAGATTGCCAGAAAAATTTTTGCTGGAACAACTTTCATTGAATCACATGTTGACCTACTTAGAGCCATGTATATTTCAGGTCTCTATCATTTAAGTGTGGTTTCAGATGCTATCATTGTATTTTGTTTATTTAATTTTCAGAAAATTCTATTTATCAACTAAAAATCCACTTGAAATAATAAAAATCCATTTCATTAAAAGTACTAGCCATGAAAAGATAAATATACCCTCGTTAATACACATTCCAAATGGGACCGAATTAATCGGTGTGTCACAAAAATTATCCTGTTATTGTAATTTTTATCTGCATTAATAGGTTTCCCCACCGGGAACCGAATTTGGTTTATGTTGTGATGAATTTCTTGTTAAGCAAGTTTGTGTTATTTTGAGGGATTACTATGTTTGGCTTATTGAACGCATTTATCTGAAATAGTTGTAAAACGTAGGGAATTGGGGTTTAAGGGCAAACAACTTGTGGAAGGTTTCATTTTCATATCAGGTGGTCAGTCTGGTGGGTAAAAAATTTATTGGTATGTTTTTTTATTTGATTTATGTATCTGTTTTGATGAAGTGAGAAATTTAGAACATTGTGTTTTGCACAATTGTATTTGTACTATGGAATGTTTGTCCTCTGTCTGCATGTGTATTTTGCATGTCATTTTATTTTGGAAAATTGGTTTGAGGTGATGGGATATTCCTTGTATGCTAGTGTATTTGTTGAAGCAATCACACCATTGTAAGTTGCATGATTAGTTTAAGCATTAATATTTACCGTAAACTTTTGGTAATAGTTACTTGTTCAAAACAGAATTCTCATAGGCCTGGAAGAAATGTTTGTTCATGTCAGAAAAATATATATCTTGTTTGGTAAATGTTGTGGTTTTATTGGGAAGATCTGCTAGACTTGAGCTGTTCTTGTCAGGTAGCTTACCTTGCTTGAAATACTTGCCTGGGAAGTTGGCTACTCTTCAAAAATATTTTCAGTGTTTGTGAATGAAATTGAATCTGCCAACAACTGAAAAAGTAGCTGCAGAGTGTTTGTGCATTTCTTCGAGAGTTTTGATTTTAAAATGGAGGCATCCAAAATTCTGTTTGACTAAATCTGTTACAGAGTTCAGGGTCTTGGAATTCGGTCATTTAAGGCTAGAAAACAAAGTATTAGTGTGTCGATATTTTGAAATATGTAATTTTATCTTGAAACTAAACAAACTAAAATTAATAACATTGTTAATACGGATGGGAACATAAGTGTGCACATGTATAAATTCTATACATAGTACAAAATTATTCAAGTATATCTTACAAAAATTACCAATCTAAATTATTAAAACTTAACATATATCATGACCTATCTCACAGCCACTGCCCTGTGTGTCGGAGCTAACATCAATTCTGGAACAGTTTTACTGCCTGCTATGTCATTGTGAATAAAAAGGAGAACCAAAACTAGTGCTTTGAATTCATGAAAAAGGTTGAATTGCATGATTCTGAACTCTGATTTTAAGACAGTGATGAATCTTTCTACACTTAAAAATCTGTTATTGATTAATACAGAAGAGGATGAATTAAGGTTGACCAGGAAATGCTATATCCTAGGCAATTCTCCCTTACATAGCTTCTTCTAGATAGCCCAAATCTCCATTGACCCAAATCTCCATAGAAGCATCTTGAGTTATCATGAGACAAGAAAATGTCATTGAAATTTATTATGTACTATAATTCCTTACTATCATAAAATTGGTAATAAAAGTAACTTCTTTTAAATCATTGTTAATTTAATGACCACATATAATCTAGACTTTGAAATTACCATTTACCTTTGAAAAGATTATGCGAAAAAATTGGTAAAAAAATTGTTACTCTATTAATAGTACAATGACAACAATTTACATGTTTTGGCTTTATTCTTCATAATCTTCTGGTATCACTATGTTTGATATTTTTGTCAATATGTTTGTCACAGCACTCTCACTTATCATGTACTTCCTGTGAGTTTTTCTCATTTCAAATTTATCTTCTCTCGTATTGACACAAAATTGTTGCTTAAAATCTTGTTTTTCTGGATTTTAGGAGTTTTGATTTTGGTCTTTTTATTATCTAAATCATTAAGAATTCAATTTTGTTATTCTATTTAGTATTTCAAGTTTCCCCAAGGGTGCTACTATTGAATGTTTCTTGACTTTGTGAAGGTTAGTGCTTATCTCTCTTTTAGAGAAGTTCTGTTTGCTGTGAGGGAGGAAGTTGTCTATGATTTGATTCTATTTAAAAAATAATGCACCTTATCTTGTATCTGCAACTTGCACTTCACCTTTTTTGTGTGTATAGTGGACTGTTCGCATACATTGCGTAGTTTTTGCTTTGACATTTTCAGACATTGATATTTAGCCAAACAATGTTTTTGTAATATAATTCTTGCACAGCATACATATTTTCTTAACCACAAGTGCTCTCAAATTGGAAAGAATTTATTAAGATGTTTTTTTCTTTAATTAGTAATCATTCTCTAAGTGAAATGAATGTAGTGTAGAACCTTCTTTATTTTAAATTTGCTTCAAGGTATTTGTCCCATAGGAGAAATAAATTACTCGGATTTGTTTATCTAGTGCATAAGCTTTTAGATATAGTTTGAAACACTATGCTTAGAAATGCTTAGAAATATTGCCAAACAACAATTGGTTTCTAGGATACTGTTGTAGTACTTCAAACGTGTGATGTTCTAGAGAGCACAACTTAATTTTGAATAATTGAAAATTGGCATAAGTGATATTGCCGTGCAAATTATACCAGTTTTTTTAACTTATTTATTCAAATGGATTTTTGAAAACCAAAGTTTTGGGCAACTTTATTGTTAAGTCTGCACCGTAATTATTGTTTTTTGTTTTTTTTTACATTTGATACAGCATTTTAATGCCTGAGCTTGAAATGCATAATTGTTTTTTAGGTTTTTTCTTGCTAAGAGAATTGCTATATAAATTGTCAGTTACTGTCGTTAATCATGAACAAATGCATAGAAATAATTTAAGGTAATTTGTTGCTAGATGATAAATTTGTAATTAAACTTTCGTAACTGTCTAGCATTTCTCTCAGCTAACATCCAAAATATGGCTAATGTTAGAAGTAGCTAGTTAATTTTCTCATTAGCCAGATTGTGTGGATAAAGCTGTATGAAGGATTGGATCATTTCGAACTTCACCTGGCATTACCTAGAGGCTTCTGGCTGAAGTCAGGTGATGGTTCTAGAGGAGTCTTCAGTGTGCGAAAAAAAAATTACAAATATACTGAAAATATGTGTTGCACAGATTCAATGTTGATTATGTAAATCAAAAAAGCCGGAAACTCTCCACCAACTTGGAAATTAATAGGAGGTCAACTAATGTATTTAGTGATGTTAGGTCTGATGTTATAAAAATATTTAATGAGTACAATGGAACTTTAAACCACACCTTGTCTCTTTCTAGCTTTGGAGAAACCTCCCACCAATAGTCTTATCCGTGAATATTGTACATCTGGTATTCTTTGTTACTGTAATATGTCACATACCCTAGCGAATTCCGTTTCTGATGTGCAAAGTGTGCTTGGAAGCTGTACCTGCTTTGGACTTTATTGACCCGTATGGAAAATGAGATCTTCACCAGCTAATTTGAGAATCAGCCAGATTCTAACTTCAGCCATAAAATATAAACACCACACACAAAATACTCGAGCATCACAAAGCAAATTACAGTAAACCCTCATTAACATGAATTCCAAAGCACCAAAATTATTTGAATTTGTGTTATCTGAGTATCACAAATGTCAGTATTACCATAATCCCTTGCTGGAACAGAAGTTTTGTTTGTGTTAAGCAATGTGTTCATGCAAGTGAGGGTTTACTTCCAAAGTATCCCGGTTCTGCATAGATGCAGAACAGAATTATAATTCCAGGAGGTATTTTGTGACATAAAGAAACACTGAGGTAACAGCTAATCCACAATTAGGGATTCTCATAATATAATGGAGTGAATTGCATTGCAGTGATGGTGCATTTATTCAGTTACGTAATTAATTCTGACTTTTTTTTAAGAAAGAAGATATTGAATGTTGTAATAGCCAATTACCAATGGCCTGCGGCAACAGCAAATACGCTGCTGATCAAAACCACAGACTATGGTTTTCCAAATAGTAGTATGTGCAGTGCCTATCAACAACAGCAACAAATTAAATACTCTCTATTAACTGCTATAAATCAAATATTTTAACAAAAAGTCTACATGAATACTGCAGTATATACAGTTCTTTATATTCCAAGAATAGTCACTGCTCCATAATGCAACATACAAATAGCAACCATTTATCAGTCTCTTCCTTGGACCTCTGCTGACATGACTCCAGTTGCAAGCAGAGACAACGGAGTCCAACCTAATATTTACCTTTTGCAGTCATCAATACTGTTTCAGGGTTTTAGAATTTTTGCTCAATTCCTGGATATTTAACGAATCCCTTAGACACTTCTCACGAGGTCGAAGGCCAGATAGTTTCATTCCTATTTCTGTGATCGTAGGAAATTATTAATGTAGATTATTGTCTCTAAACAAGGAGTGAGTGTGGTGGTTAGAATAAAATGGGTGGAGAGTTTAAATGACTATCCAAGATTAATTTCGTAACAAGAATGTACAATGATGCAAAAATTCAATAGATAGATGTCGTTACTAGTCTTGTATAAGTAATTCACAGCAATGTTTTTAAAGAATGTTCAATAGGTGAAGCAACTTTTTAAACGCTGATAATGTGCTCGATGCTTAAAATGCATTGTCGGAAACCGACATCCACAGCATTACTTTCATTTTAACCAGCTTGCCAAAAAAGTGTATAAACCATGTTAAATTTTACTGATTGTGTTGAACTGCTAACAACTCTTTTAACCAAATTTGTAAATTAGCAAATAAAGTGGAAATTGATTTACATGACCGACAAAATATTGGAAAGATTGTTCCAGGGATTTAAACAAAATTTGAATAATACTCCAAAAATTTTATTTTTTTCATACAGTTTTGTGTATTTTTATATGAAGTTTTTCATGGTCTAAATTTTTATTTATAATTGTATCATGTGAGTTGGTCATTTTGTAAAATTGTGAACAAATTGTCTTTTTAATTTGATAAAAATAATTAAAAATAATTTTCTCTTGGTGCTTGTTTTACACGAGATGGGAATGAGATATTTGTGCTTTTGCACAAATATTGAGTTCACTGTATTGAACAAATAAAGAAAACTTAAATTGAATTAAAGGAAAACAAAACACAAACAAAATATGCCAATTTTCCTCATTTGCAATTTGCCATTTGTGTTCTGTTTCGTTGTGTATAATAGTTGTGTGCACCAACCATGAGGCCGCTTCTACCAACATAAAATTAGCTACCTGTGTCAATATACTCATTAGTTATCAACTCCTGTTCGAACAACAAAGTAGTTCAGTCACACCTTTTTTCTCCAACATAAGGGTTAATAAATTTTATTCTTTTAAAAAAATATTTTTTGGGTGAAGCAAAAATGGTATCTAGCAGCAGTGATGTATATTAAATGATTGTCAATTTTCTTTACATGATAGAGCGTATTTACCCAAATATAAGACCACCCCTAATTTTGAAGAAGCTTCCTGACTTTTTTTATTTTTACTGATTTTTGAGCTGTCACTATTTTTTTGTTAAAATCCTCCTAATCGTGGTTTTTGTCACTAGAATCCACCTATGTACATTTCCTTCCTTCTCACCAGATTTTCTTGCTGTTGTTCTCTTGTTCAAGGCCTCTGATTCTTTAACAGTTTTTACACATTGTAAGAAAATGTACATCTAATTTGTATCATTGAATTTTTGTATGATTGAATTGTGAACTGTGAATTCATGAATCTCAGTTTTGGGGATAACACAGGAGAACATGTCAAGCTTCCAAAGAATGAGACGTATTTGCTCAGAAAATAGTTTATCATTTTGTGATTGTAGAATGCAAACTTTTATCATTGATATCATTTTTTATTATCAACTCTCGCAAAACAAATATTCATGTGAGGCCTTGTCAATAAGATCTTGTAACAAAATCTCAGCAACAATTTTTATTCATTTTTAAATTGCATTTCACTTTTTACAATGCTATTTGTTTGGCTTGCTTTTCTCTTTACTGTTATATTCAAAAGTATTAGTCTAAATCACCAGCAAATTCATGCTTAATGCCAAATACATCTGTGAAAACAATTGAGTGGTATTTTTTGCTTCTCGAACTTATTGTTTCGTCAGCATTTTTGTTTCTTCTGGGCATGGCAAGGCAGGGTAAAAATATATTTTCTTCCAACTAGGCTTAATCTGTAAATATAAGATGATCCTATATTTTTCAAACGAGATAAATAGGAAAAACCTGGCCTTGTATTCAGGTAAATACAGTACATGTATTTATAAACTACATCTGCTTCATCTACTAGTCCATTAGTACACATTAAAAAGTCGTATTGTGTTGATTTTTTAAATTTATTTTTCAAAAGAGATGAGGCGGTAAATTAAAATGTGGATTGTTTGTGTTCCATACTCGCCAGCCACCTGCAATGAAGAGTTGTAAATTTTTAAATTGCAGGATTTTCCAACAGGGTCAGTAGTTCCAACACAGCCACCCTTTTAGGGATTGATGATATTTTAAAAGGATCAAAGATATCAGTTGAGAGCTGGGTATGCACTGACAATTGATCGGTATTATCTAAATGACTCATTATTTGCAAAAATTATTAATGAAGCTGATGATTGTTTTCTGATATTTATCATTTAATTCTTTTGTATATTTTAATTTAATAATAAATAAGAAATTTTATTCTCTTTTAGAATTGAATATAGTTTCTTACTTTCATGCAATAAATAGAATCCATGATTTTTCTTCTGAAAATTTATTTATATTATGATTACAGTGCAAAAAATTATTAAGCAGTCTTAATTTTTTCTAACATTTTTGTTCATTTTTTTAATGCAATTATCTTTGTTATTTATGTGTCATGAGTGTTATGCATATATAGTGTGCTATATTACGTTACATATCAGAAAAATGGAAGAGGTTCTATGTAGTCAACCATTATTTCAAAAGGGGTCAATGAAAAAAAACATATTAAAGCTGTATGTATTAAAGGTTATAGTTTTTATCTGTATGGAAGTTTCAAGGAATTAATATCTCGATAGGTTGCTTAGAAATTGGTATTTTTTTTAATTGATCTAATAGGGTTCTTTTTTGGGTCTTTGTAATTTTGTTTTTATGTCCTTGGAGACTGAAAATTGAATCCTAGTTTTGTATTGTATTTGCCTTGCGAAATGAAATTGTGATTTCTGCAAATCAAATCTTTATAAATTTGTTAGGAAATAATGAAAACATCAATTTTATCTTTTGGGAATTTTATTGATATCTTCTTGAGTTACAAGTAAATCTCACGTAGTAAGACTTGTCTTCTACAAAGGCAAATTTCTGGCAGTTAGTTATTCTCTCATAAAGGTAATGCTAATATTTATAATTTTTAACATTCTGAATTTGATAATTCTATCAGGCTTTGAGAATACAAAGTAAAGGCAAGAAAGGACATGAATTTAACAATGAAAGCAATTATTTGATTAACCCACAGTAGGTTGAGTCTACTCGAGTCGCATCCTACTTTAAGGGAAGAGCAGTTCTGATTTGAAAATTAAGATATTTTATGCATGTTAAAGAAATAACCACATTTTCATCATTTCATTATTTTTTTAATGTGTATAGCACAATAATGTTGTTCATCTATTATCTTATTTTATTTATTATAATGCTTTGTTATTGTTATTTTTTACTTCTTTCTGTACTATATACTTATCAGAAATTTATCATACCCATGTATTGCAAAATGTAAAAAACATGATTCATGTTAGGGCATAGACAATTTAATATTTGCTAACAATACAATAATTCTTTGGTTAATGTTGATCTTGTTCTTGGGAATTTTGCAATATTTTAATGTTGTTAGAGTTAAACAAGGTAAGGAGATTGTCACAATCTTCAAATTGTGTGATCTTGCTTAGAAAGACTGTAAGAAATACTTATGCAGTATGTAAAGAGTCACGTGATTCTGTCTCAAATTGACATATATAGTACTTACATGCTGAACATACAGTTAAATTCAGTTGATTATTAGTATTTCAAATAAGAGATAGAAGCACCACAGACTGACAGAACATTTAAATGCCAAATAATGACTGGCAAAATTTGAAAGAGTGCCGTACACTTAACCCTAATTTATTGAAGGACATCTGTGATTAATCTACTTGAATGTTATCTGTCGATGTAAATAATTCACAACAAGCATAATGTTATGCATTAGTGGAAGATTGAGGTCGGGTGGTGCTTTTGTGCGAGCGTTGGTATTATTGAAGCTCCTGAAGTCGTGAGTTGGTTGGACGGAGGGAGCTGTACTAAAAGGAGGTTTGTTGTGTGTGCAGAAAGATGGAGGAGCGGAGGGTGGGAAGAGCTCGTGTGCAAACTGTGGAGTGGCGTGCACTCACACACACGCTACGCCAAAGGGCAGCATGTGCAACACCTGCTATCAGCACTGGAGGTAGGCCCAAGCCCCTGAACCCACACAACACTACCCTTCCTCTTTCCCTTTAAGTAGTTAGCTCATTGACCAGATTTGCTCGCTTCTTTTGATGAACAGTTTGGGACTTTTAGTGAAGCCACAGTGTGTCTCCTGTTCTGGGGTTCAGGAATTAGTGTCTACACATGGTCACTAAAACTTCCAAATTGTTCATTAAATCAAAGCGTGTACGTTGGGTTTTCAGCCCCCTCTTTTGCCAACACCTTTTTCTATTTACAATATCCAATTTTCTTTCTTTCTTCCTTTACCTTTTTCTCTTTTCATCCCCCTGCTTTCATTTACAACTTTTTTTTTTTTTTTTTTTTTTTTTAATTATTATTATTTCTTTTAATTTGGTAAATTACTTACACCCAAACCAATACAACACTACTCTCCTCTCCCCGTTCCCATGTGATCAGCTAAGTCTTTAGCAATTCAGCCTCGCGTCTTTTGCCCACACCTGTTTTTTATTTATTCTCTTTCCTTTCTTCTTTTTATGTGCCTCTTGCCTTTCTTTTATCCACTAGTGTTTATTTTCTTATTATTGAGCTAATTCCTTAGACTTTTCCATCCAACCCATTAGTGGTAAATGCTTCCTTATGATAATTTGTTTGATTTTGCCCTTTTTAAAATCCTGTTCCTGCTTTTTTTAAACATTATCATCCTTTTGTTTTTGTTTTCACTCTTCCTTTTTTTCCAAAACCCATTGAGAGTTTTCCCAATTTGGTATTTGCACAAAGTTAATTTATTTCAATAGTGTTGCACGAAGAATTGTTGAGAAGGTTCTAAGTTTTCCTTTTTATATTACTCTTGCACTTTAAAGTGTACTTCGTAGAATTTTGTTTCCAAATTTGAGGAATAGTTCAATGCCCCCTGAACTAAAAGTCAAAGATATAAGGTACTTAGCCTATCAAAGAAACAAAAACTGTCGTTTTTTTAATGCAAAGAAGGAATTATTGAAGAAGCATTTGCCAAATTTGAATTTCAATTTAAATTGCAGGGTGTTTTTTTTTTTTTTTTTGTTTTTTTTATTTGGGTTGTAAACAATTTTTATTAACTTGTCAATATTTTTGTCTTGTTTGGCAGCATGTTAATTTATTTCAGATATATTTTATTTTCATCTGTCATATATTTTAAATAATGTATCAGTGTGAAAAGCAGTTGGACTGGATGCAATCATTAAACGTTTCGTAAACATTGTGTATAAGATCTGCAATAAACATTAAGGGGCATGAAATTTGATCTTCCATGGTCTCTGAAAATGAATTTTCACTTTCCAAATACTTAAATGTCTCTCAATTTTTTAATGTTATTTAAATAGTTACAATAATTGTTAATTTCGTATTAACTTATGTGATGGCACTCAGTTGGTAAACTTCCTTTTTTATTAAAAATGTAATAGCTAAATGGTCTCTCTCATTGATTGAAATTAGTTAATTTAAACCTGTGTGTCATAAATTGAAAATTAAAGTTAAATATGTTAGGCAGGTTCCTTTGATACATCCTGTAAGGAGTAAGCTTTGATCCAACTATAAATCTCATTTGCTAGCGTGCGTTTCTTTCTTTTGATCTGCTGTTAATTTTTTTTAACGTTTTATAAAATTAGAAGAATCGTGTACATAAATTTTTATTGTACGTTATTGAGTGCTCCTTTTTCTTGGAGTTGAGAGTTAATTCCATTTCTACTGCTTGGGTGATAATGTGGTGATCGCGATAATTTGCACAGGCGTACGGGCAGTGTTCGTCCCACAACGGGACCCGTGAAGCGTGATCGCCATTGCCACACACTTCTTCGCCACAAACGCAAGCCACCTCGTGGGATGTACATCAATCACGATGATTTGGTGACAATGGCCTCAACGACCTCTGCATCTGCCCCAGGAGCTCAGGGCGAGCAGATGCTTAAAGCAATGGATCGTGAGATTGTCTCGCTGAAACGTCTTGTAAGTCGAAGAGTCGGGTGGCAAGCTTTCAGAATTGGCATGACAAATTGCAATGATTATATGTTTCTTTATGGACAATTAATTTCTTCGGGTTTTATGTACTCTCTTAGTCCACAAGATTTTTTTTTTTAATACCTGTTGGTTTTTAATGCAAGTTTAGTGCACATACATTTTTTATAACGGGATTATTAATGTCTGTTGATTAAAACAATCCTGCATTGTGATGAATATTACTTATCAGGTTCTGGTGTAATCATTGGCTCATGAATTTATTATAGATAACAAATCCTTTCTGTTTTTTGAAAATACTAATAAATTTTTATTTTAAAAGAACTTAATAACTGTAGTAGGATTCAGCTATCCAGTTTTAAGAACATTGTTGGCTGCAAAAGTTGTGTTGTTCGATGATTTCTAGGTTTTATGAATGATACATTGCAACCTGATAAATCATTGATAAATGTCATTTCATTAAATTTTTATTTTGTATACTATAATATTTTGAGAAATCTGTGCATTATTTTATAATAATTATTGTTGAATTGGGAGCTTTTAAGTTTTGTAAATAAAACCTTTTTGTTATCAATCGTGTGATTATTGAAAGTGTTTTTGGGTGATGTTTGTCTCTGCCTTCTATCTTATTGAGATAGGTTTGTGTTGAACATCATTTCTGTATCTTTTTTGTTTTGTTGTTCTCAATTGGTTCTGAGTATATTTACATACTGGTGTTCATGCTGTGTATGTTTCAAACACCATTTGTGCTAGGAGGTTGATATTATTTCATTGTTGTTTAGCTTGGTGTGTCGTTTTTTGGAAAATTGTATGTTCCCTTTTGTCCTTCATCAATTCTTGAATTCTATTAAATATTTTATGCATTTGTTACATGGGGTGGTGCCATGATTTTATTTCTTGGTGACTTTCTGAAGGGCACTTACAGTGGTGTTGGTTGATTTGTTTATACTTGTGGGAAATGGCAATCTGTAAAACAATTTCCAATACTTATATCATTAACATCATGTGTTATGTAGAGTGAGTGTTGTTTGCCCTGATTGTAGTATGAATTGTTGCTAAAACAAACTCTGCATGTGTGTTGTGCTATTTGCAAATTTCTCATGAATTATTACTGAAATTGGTTGAATGAATTCTCTTGAACCAAAAAAACTGCTTTTTGACATATTTGCTTTTTTCTATTGTAAACTTGTCAGTAGGGACTCAATATTTTTATTTTTGTAGTGTTTGAGTAAGGTTTTTTATTATTTTTATTATTAATATTGGTGAAAATCTTACTATATTTTTAGTGTACAGTATAATATTATAATTTCTGTGCGTTTTTGTGAATAAAACATGCTTCGTGCTCTTTGGTGTGGGGTATCTAATCCCCACCACTTGCATTATGCTTTTGCTTTCATGCAATTTGATGGTGTATGAAATGTGTGTTAACATTACACTCGATAAGGTGCAGTGGTGTTAAAATATTATTCTTTTTATGGTGTTAAAGAAAAGGGTTCCACTTACAATGAATTTGCTAATCGGATATCGCAAAATTCTCTTACTCAGATATAAAACTAGTACGTACTGAAATTTCTCTTTGCACTTATTTCTTCGGTAGTATTAAATTATTTTTGAAATATGGCAATTCTAATTAAATGGGAAACAGTTAATTGAATTTTTAGTTTTATCTGGTGGGTGGCTATTTGTGTAGGAAAACTTGCAACTTAGTTCACTTGGTCTTGTTTTGTATGTAGATATAACTTCTGACTTTTCTTCATGTTTGCTTCAGGTTCAAAACAACAAGCAAACCTTGAGTTCGTACAAGAGGAAAACTGCAGAAGGTATAGAAGAATTTCGTCCCCAGGATTCAAATGCCCGCATCAATGCTCGATGGACTAACGATGAGCTATTGCTTGCTGTCCAAGGTGAGGTAATGATTTTAGGAGTGAAGGATGTTCGTGTTGTACAGTCAATTTAGGCCTGTAGATTTTCGTGACGTATTGTAAAACAGTTAATTTTGTTAATTTTACACTGAGGCTTTCTTTATTATTAATATGATTATTATTTAAAGTTATGGTAAAATAGTAATTAATGTACATGGCCAATGTCAAGTGAAAATTGTAAAGATTTTTGTTACATGAATGTAATTTCATTAAAATAGGTTTAATTACAATGACTTTTTTTCTGCAGGAGTACGTAAATACGGGAAAGACTTTAAAGCCATTGCGGAAGTGCTGGGAACAAAAACAGAAGCACATGTCCGTAGCTTCTTTGTGAACTATAGGCGTCGTTACAACCTTGATGCTGTGTTAAAAGAGTTTGAAGCAGAGAATGGACCCATTGTGGAAACAGACGAAAAAGAAGAGAAAGTGAGTGGTTTTATTAAATTGGTTTTCAAATAAACATAATGCATATAATGAAAAAATGTAAAGTCGCATGGTGTGTCCTAATTTTAATTATTCCTCTTGGCACACATTATATTTTCTTTGAATGACAAGATTGCATGTGGAAGTGTTGAAGCCATTTACAAATGGGAGAAGTCAGGACCGCCAACTGACATGTTTGACAAGCACATGGCCAGAGACTTCCATTACGCTGCAAGCACTAGCGGCTGCTTCGGACCCTTCTTCAGCTAACTTCTCCCTACTAACGTATTTTATGAATGTCCCAGGGAGGTCCCTGTGAAAGGTTTTGAATGAAGTTAATTCCTTATCTCCAGATGGAGACGGACGGTGTATCTTCAGGCAGTGAAGCCAGTACTCCCACACCCAGTGCCAGCTCCCCAGTCACTGTGGGCTCTGGTGCAAACGCCCCCAATGCCAAACAGGGCTTTCCCAAAGCCCCTGTGGGTCCTGGGCAGGCTGCCAAATGATACTGGCTCTAGCGTAAGGCCCGGTACGTACATCAGATCAGTCATTCCACTTTTTATGAGCATGCCACAGTTGTTTAACCCTTCAGGCATGTGCGACAACAAACCTCATTCTGTGTGAAACTTCTTCTCAGTATGTGTGACAACATCTCTCATTTACAGTGTCCTTAAGCAATTTCCGAATATGTGAGATTATATTTGGCATCCTCAAGTGAAAGGGGCAGTTTCCCACTTACACTGGCTTATGAGTTTTTGTTGGAGATGCACCTGCCATTTTGAGATTATAGTTTGTTTTATTACATGTGTAGCATTTGGTTTCCTGATGGTAATGAAATAATGTTGTACTGTTACAAAGACAAAAGTAAAGAAGATTTTATCATTAATTCAAGTGGATAAGGACAGTAAAAGAGAAACTGATTGTGAGTGAAGAAAAATTTACAAAACTGAAAATTCAAAAATTTGGCCAATTATTTGTTCCTTAAAAGGCTACACTAACTGGTTATGTTGAATGGTTAAGGGGGTGATTTAATAATACAAGAGACCAATATTTATGCCATAACTTATTTGGGCAAAGAAGGGACTAAACAGAAATGTGCTTGGAAAAAACTCTTAAGAGCGAGGTCCAGCCTGGGTGGTTTGCCATGCTTGAAGGGTTTATGAGATACCATTCTATCTGTTTGCATGGAATGAAGTGCAGGTTTGTAGAGTGCCTCTGTTTGATTTGGTACAAGAATAAGATAGCTTTGAATCAGTGGTTTGATGCCTGGCTATATAAAAGTCTTCTAGACGTACTAGAATGTTTTTGAGGTCTCCAAGCCCTAATTTTGACATTTTATTTAATTAATGAACATTATTTAATAAATCTGCAAACCTTTGCAATGCAATTTATATTCTGCGGAACATTTATTGAATGAATTGATCATTTTTATTGACAGGATAAATATCTCTTGGTAATACATTATTGTCGGAATTTTCATAGATTTAAAATTAACTTGTAACTCATTAAAATAATTTTCATAGAGCTGACAGAAACCTTAAATCTGCATGAAATCAATAGTGCTTGGTTTTTGTTTTGTACCAATTAATAGGGGGTTGAAACAATTACATTTCATCACTGTTCTTGGTTTTCTCTTAGTGAATTGGCATGCTAATTATCTAAATAAATAATTATAAATTAAAAAATATTTATGCATTAAATTAAAAAATATTGAAATTAAAAATTAAAAAAATCTATTGAATCATTGTATAATGTTTTTGGTAAACAATTGTTCTCTATGATCTTTGTGAAATGTTGCAATGTAGTGTTTTATAAATGCTTTAAAATAACTTGTAATTATTTAATTTTATTGGAGGGGGTACTTTCATTTGTAAACATGTGTGAATTATTTGAGTAGTAATGATTTCCATTACAACCATTTAAATATTTCGTGATATATAATCAGCTAATTTCACCAACAATTAAATCAATCTTGACGAATGTTGGCGGTGTACTGTCCCTGTAATCTCTGGAAAGTTCACTATTCTAAAATATTCTACTCTTATTGCTGAAGACTTGACCTGATTACTTGATTGCCTCATTGCACTTCAAGAATATATCACAAACCGTGGTCGTAATGAGGCAATTGTGAAAGATGCTGCCTTTTTCTTTACACAACAGCTTTCTGGAAAGACAAAATTCCCTTGCAATCACCAATCACAAAGCAGAATAGTCCTGTTGTAAAATATGTTGGCGCTATGAACTACTTCTACTACAACTACTACAACATAGTTGTTAGAGGATTATTTCTGAATGTGGTTCTATTTCACCTAAAATATTCAGAACCACCGCTTTTGACCTATATCTAGTTATAAATTGAGCATTGTCCAATCCATAAAAATGATTTTTTTGGAGTAATTTTTTGTTCTGAACCCATGGGTTTTAAAAAAAATCAATATAGAAAAGTTTAGCATGAAAATTATCTCCCATGTTATCACATGTATGAAACTTGAACAGCAAATGAGTAATACATTAAGTCAGAAATGCAGTGCACACTTTCTTTCAAAACCTAAGCTCACGACAAAATTGTTAATGAGATTTCAAGGGCATTCGTGGCAGAGTTCCATTCCATCAAAATTTGATTGATGATTTTGATGATCAGATAAAATGATCTTACTGAAATATCAGTATGGTGATTAATGAGTCATCAGTAGTTTGTCATTCGTCAAAGCCTATTGATCAACATTGGTAAAATCAGCTGAATGCTTATTTAGGTCATTTATGTTCATTCATCCAATAACTGAAAATTGTTGATTGCAAAATACTCACTCAATTTTTTTCATTGCAGGTAATTGTTTTTATTGTTAATAGGAAGAGATGGAAATTTAATGTATAAATATTATTGTGAAGTCGCATCAGAATTATTAGGGAATTATTCCAATCAAGTATCCATTTGAGATGCTGCGTTTTTATACATGTACATCTGTCTCCTGCTTGTCAGGAAGAGAATTGTTATCTTGGAAAGGTGTCAATCCAATGAACTAAGATCCCTGTTTTATAAATAAGATTGCAATATGTTCTTGATGTTTTACAATAATTGTAATATTTGGAGGATTTAAGTTGAAAAAAATTATTTATTTTATATATATATAAATGTAGTATAAATATGTATACTTCTGGGTGTTGATGTGACGGAAACCAGTGATGCAACGGCCATATGTACACAAAGCACTGGACATTCATGCTTTCTAGTGTATGTACCGCTGCTACTACATTGTTTTCGTGTGAAGATGGAAAACAATTTCCAAGATGCAAGATACTCTGGTTCACAGTCGTCTGATACTGTTCCTTCAGTGATGTAGAAGACACTTTTACCATTGGTTTTGTATATCGCATTCAAATGTCATTGTCATAACAGGGTTATGTTATTTTGCCTACATAGAGATAAGTGTGAGAGAGTAGTGTGCATGCTGTGTACTTACGTGCCTGTATGAGTGAAATCAAAATCTGTGTTTGTCCAAGAACCTGCAATTAAACCGTGTACATCATAGAAAGTACAATTGAGTTTTGAGAGCAACTGAATTTGATATAAATTGCTGTGTATGAATGCAATGGACTAGGGGTGAGAAGGCAGTGAATGCAATAAATTGTCTCATTGTTTTCAAAATATAATTTTTATTACCTTATATAAACAGTAATCCGAAAAAAATATGATAATCTGTTGCTAAAGAATATCGGATTAATGTAATGTCAAGTAACAAAAAGTGATTATATTTCAATTCTTAATCGACTGATTTAAAAAATATATTTTGCTGCAAGATCAGAACTCTTGTATTTAATGCAACAAAATGGTCTGCCAAAAAGTGTAATCCAATTCCTTATTATTTCATTATCATTGAATAAGGAAGTCATATGAGATTCCAATTACCTGTTTAAAAATGTGACTTACATTAATTACAAAAAAAAAAATTGTCACAGAGTTGTGCTTAAAATCTGATCAGTTCTGTAAAATCAAATTTTGAGTATGAGGTGAAATTGTATTGTTGTTAGAGTTTTGTTATGATCAAAGATCGTATAAATGGAGGAGGATTGAATGGATCATGCTAGAAAACAGTTGAAGTTGATGAAGTAGAAAAATTGAAGTTCTGGTTACATTCATTGCTTTCTCCAGAAGATGAACATGAAGTTGAAAACTGATGGTGTACATGGTGTAATTAGTTGAAACTTTTTTCACTTGAAAGTAACATGGGATTTGGAAAGTGTTACCAGATAATTTTTACAGTTAAGAATAATTGATGTTCTAAGTGCTAAACAAATTTTTAAGGGAACAGGCATTGACTATTATTTTACAAATGATAAAACTATTACTGATACAAATTGTTATTGTTGTTAGTACTATTTAAAACTCTGGTCGTGATTCTTAATATACTCAATCAATTGTCGAATTCTGGAAGGTTCATGGTTATCAGGTTTAATTTACTCTCATATTATGCATTTATGTCCTAAGTGACAGTCGCTCAGAAAATCTATAAGTGAAATTTTTTTGTAACAAATTTCAAGAGATGTTTGCACTGCTTTGACTTGACTACTAATAATTAGGATTAGTAGATTGTCAGTGGGTTTAACCCCCAAAATGTATTGGGACAAATTTTCCAGTCGTAAGATGCAGTGTTCAGTTATGGAGCAATATAGTTAGAGATGTGTGAACTCATGGTCAAGTGCTGCAAAAGTTGCATGAAATCCAAGCCATGACTCTGTTTCCAGTTCTGGTTCCCATCCAAAAAATGTTTATCTGTGATACAAATACCATATATGTATATAAGCACTGAACATGCAATTTTATTTTTGAGACATTGATTTAGTTACTCTATTAAGTATGTATGTATGTGTGTTTTTTTAATTATAATTAGTCTTTCCTTTTGTTTCTTTGAGGAAAATTGTATATTTTGAAGATTTTGTATTGTTTTCATAAGAATTAAGTTTGTTCTTTAAGGTTACAAGCTGAAAGTGTTTGCGTTAAATATGAGATTCTGTGAATTTTAGCATCTTCACTTTGAGTGATAACTTCAGCAGTACTAATTGAAGAATTAGTGTATCATTGTTATTCCTGATAAGTTTAGAAGTGTGTTAAGGTATGTTTTGTGTTCCATCAGTATTCATTCCTATTGCGCATTGTTCTCATAAAGACATAGCCTTAGTAAGGAAAATCAAATTGTTAATCACTGCAAGTAATGCTGAAATATGTTTTTTTCTTTTCCAGCAGCTTCGTGTGAGTAAATTTTAATAAAAAAATTATAATTTTATCTAAATTTAATGTGGTGTGCTTTTGCATTGATTTACCAAATCGATCAGAATTATTCTGTTCAAAGAGGCTTTGTTTAATTTTAAAACATGCCAAATATTATTTTGAATATTTATTTGAAAATTGGTCCATCTCTATTGATTATAGCCATTTTCTGCCAAGAAGAAATTGTCTCAAAGTGAAACATGCAAAATCCTTTTTAATTTTCTGGTTTTCTTTGTTACTGAGTAATGAGAAGAAATTGATTATTTCTAATTTATTTTTTCCTTTGTGTTTTTTGTTTCTGTTCTGGAAATTCTGCTAGTCGCAAAGCCTATTTTATTATTATCAAATAAATTACAGTGCCCTGAATAATTTCCATGGTTCAGAAAATAGTAAAATTCAGATTAATAAAAAATTAATTAAACTTCTTTGTAGATGAGTAGTACATTACTGTTTTTATTTTTAACAGGAAGGCATTGGCTTTCGCCTTATAATTTAATGATTGGATTGAAGATTAATGTGAAATTTGAATGTTCCAAAATTGTGGTGGGATTTGATGAAAGTTTCCTATTGGGAACTGAAATACAGTTGAATGTACTGTGTTCTATTGAGAAAACCATGAAAGTCAAAAATCTTGAACTTTACAGAAAGCAAAAAAAAAGTGTACCTTTTTACTGCTTTCCAAGGAATGATGTTTATAAGAGTCTATACATAGTTGTGAGCGAGTTTAAACATAAAACTAATGGTGTTTCATTACATTAAAATAATAAAAATAAAATTAAAGGTCTTTGTACAGTAGCAGTACATCAGCTTACTTTTTTTGCCGCTTAGATTGCTAAAACTGCCAGTTTTACAACTTAGCATTGATTACAGGTGACAATGTTTTGTTTTAAACTGCAATAAAATATTGACTTCCATGGTTTTCACTCTAGGGTGACGATATCTTAATTGTATTGTATTGTGTGCCTAATAACATGACACCTCTCCCAATTTTTGAGAGGAACTTATTCTGAGGCAAAGTGTCCCACAATTGAACATGTGGTATGAATGTTTCTTGCCTGTGAAACAGCAAGTTAAGGGCAGATACTTTTCCCTAATCATATGTTCAACATTAAGAATTTACACATCTCTAGCTATGTAACATTTTAATCTATTGAATAGCATTCCACTATGGGAAAGCTGAAATTTGATCTGTAAATATTTGCAATGTGATGTACAAAAGGAATAGTGTCCAGAGTTTATTGGTTACACAATTAATGTCAATAAGGGGATTTGAACCTCTGAAATTTCAATGGTGCATTTTGAATGACTGTTTCCATATCAAACACTATACTTATCCATGTTGTATGGAACTTTTATGGAGGAGGGTCACACTGCTTATTTCACATTTTAAGCTGACATGCCAAGGAAACAAAATGCCATGCGTTTCATAAAGGGTTACCTTGCCCAGCTCGCAACTATGAAGCAATATGTCTTATTCCAGTTACATGCACAGAAAGAAGTAAATATTTTGTCTTGGGATTTCCAAGATTATTTAGTCAAAAGGGTCTCTTTAAAAACTATTCATTATTACATTTGTTAAAAAAAGTGTAAATAGGGCACAGGCATGTATGCAAGATTTGTGCCAAACCGCACCTTCTTGATTGTTTTTCAGAGCATCTGATAAAATAAGTTACCGAAATTAATGACAATGCTCTGATTCATTTCTGGTATTAAAAATATTTGCATCAGCATCTAGAATCTTGACCAGCTGTCTTGATACAGTACTTTTTTTTTAGTTGTACATGCTGGAATTGTCCAACTTGCTTTTTTTGGAGAGGTTTTTAAAGAGATACATTGACTGAAGATAAAAGTCTTATGCTTTTATTGGCTTGTGTAGATACCTTAAGAAATGGCAATTAAAATATTTACTGTGAAGTTACATAAGCTCACTTTGTATTAATTTTTTAGGATTGCACAGTACCACACCAAAGGAGCATTAACGTTTATTATCCATTCTATTTGGGACTGTGTCATGTTTTGTTATGTTGTTTCTGATTTTACTATTATAAAATTTACTTATTTAAGTTTACTTACTAGTTTTATATGTACAGGAATTTTATATTGAAAGAGTTTGGACTAATTTTGGATAATCTTCATTAAAATTGTATTTAAGTCTATACATAGCAAACAATTAGAATTAAATATTTCGTTATAGGCGAAGAATATCATATTATAATGTCAGGATGAAATATTTGCAGGAAAAAATTGAATATTGTGAAAGACTGTGTGAGAAACACCAACCTGTTTTTTGCTCTGGATGAAAAGATGTATCATTATTGATTCATGATGTAAAATTTAGAATATACATTCAAATTCAGTAACTACCTTTGGGAATACCCCAATATTAAACCAGGAGTCTAAGTTTTGTATAAGTTTTTAAAGTTGTGCAACTGTTATAACATTGAATTCTTGAATGAACTTTTTTCTTTCTTTGTACTTTTTCTATCTTTTTTTTTTTTTTTTGTGTGTGTGAATTTCTTGGGTTTTAGTCGAGTTTTCTACTTGGCAACTACTCTTTTCATAAATACAAGTCGTTGTCCTATTGAGAAACTAAAATAAGTCGGAAATCTCAAACTATGCGTTTAGCACAAAAAACTTTGGTCCATAATTTTTTACTTTCCAAAGATTGCCATTTTGTGAAGTTCATAAATAGTATTTCCGACTTGAAACATAAAACAAATAATGTTTCATAAAATTAAATATTTTCTCTCTTTCAGTGGTGGTACATGGTTTCATTTCACCTCTATAGCACTAAAATGTCCACTTTTACCAACTTTTTGCACTTAATGCAGGTGACAAACAAGGTTTCCCATCTTGAACTGTAATTAAACTAATTTTCGAAAAATTTTTACAAATGTGGTTTCCACATTAGGGCAAAAAAATTTATGATTTGGAGAAAAATCTTGTGCCATTTAAAAAAAAATAAAAACCTACCTTAAAACGATTGAAGATGTGGTTCCAAAGAAGCACTGTTAAATTAAATTTCAACATGCTTTTAACTAAACTCAAATCAGTGTTCTCAACATACTGTTACCAAAGTTCAATAAAGTTTTAATTACTAGTTATATTTACTTTTTACTAGTGATATTTTGTAGAATGAAACAAATTACTGGTATTTTCCTCTGAATCAGAAGTTGAACAAATTCATTCCAAATCTAATTATTTTAAAAAAAATAAAAAAGAGTTAAGTGACATTGTGTAGAATATATCAGAATAAAATAAAAAACTGTTGGGAATGTAGAAGAGGCAAAAATGATAACTTTTTACTAGTGAACGTGTACTGGTACATATACATGGCATTTTCCCCAGATTGTCAGGTAACTCCTAATGCAGCCCTGCAGTAAGGAGGTTCTGACCCAGTCAAGGAGATTTAAAGTATCTGCGTAAGATGTTGGCTAACATTTAGAGACAAATATAATGTGTAACTCCTTGACATGAAATAATCCACTGTATGCTCAGTGGCAAAAAGTCATCATGTTCAACACCTCTCCAAGCCTTAGAAGTTTATATTATTTATTTTGGGTCTTGGTAAATTTGGAGAGTACATTCAGACATTGCTGGACTTGAGTAATTTGATCAGAGTTGTAATTAACTGTTCCTGAGTAAAAATACAAATGAATGTGTTTCATTGAAATCGATTAGTTTTCATCAATGTATTTTGAGTGAAGGTGAAGAATTAGCTTACTGATAAAGCCATAGATGCAATAGTGTGGCGAAACAGTGCCTTCTTGTTGCTAATGTAGAACATTTGAGACTATCACCCTTGTAAATTTATGCTTTAGTTTTTAGAATTGGGTTTGCAGTCCTTGAATTTTTGGGGAGTATTTGGCTATTTTTCCTTCTGTATCTGTCAAAAGTTATGACATTGATAATTGAATATTATAATCCAAAATCCATCAATCTTGCTTATTTAAATTGGAATAAATCTCTTTGAAATACTTTTACTTTTTGTTATAATTGGGTAAATAAAATTTCTAGGTGTAAATACTACAGTATTAGGATTTGGAATTGATAATCTGCCAGTGTTCATCAGTTAATTGCAAGTTTGGTTCATTATTGGGCGAACTATAATTCAATATTTTTAAATGGTGTGCTGAGACATTTGTTTTTGAATGTGTTCATACATATGTGCATGCATCCATTCAGTTCATATGTTTTGAAGACATCTGGTTATCACAAAATAAAAATGGCAATTCTTGAAAAAAACAAATAAAACAAATCGCTTGAAAATTGATTTGCAGGTTCAAGAAGTCACCTTAAGACTTTATCATATCTTGGTTAGAAAAATTGTCTAAATAGAAGCTGGTTCTACAAACTAATTTCAAATAAGAATGAATTTTACAATCATTTTTCTTGAACCAGCTGTTTACAAATAAAATTGCAGACACTTTGCTTCTAGTTAGAATTAATTAGATTAAATTGTTTCTATTTATTTTTGGCAATTATTATTCATTGTTTAAATCTGTTGAATAGGCTACCTTTACACAAATATAAATCTATGGAGGAGGATAGTAAAATTATGAATGAGTATTATCGGGTGGAAACGGGAGAGAATTTTGTGCATTGGCAACCAACTTTCAGCATGTGTAAGCATGCCTCAGGCTGGAATTTTCATGAGATAATGTGAACATTTTAATAAATATTCAAATATCAATGTCATTGTTTAATGTTCCTTTCCTTCTGTCGTTTGCTAGCTATTGACACTCGTGGAGTAAGAAAGATCTCATAAGATTTAATTTATGTAATATTGTGTACATATAACTTCTGATTAAAATTATGTTACTACAGAATCAACTCTGCATATATTCTGGAAGCAGAAGCGAACACTGTAGAGTTCCACAAAGAATATGTTTACCTTAGTTTAATCACATTGTGTTGTCTGTCAGGGTATAGTCATGAGAAGATATTTCAAAATAAGCAAGGCCGAAGTTTTGTATATGCGTGTATTGGAGAGATGCATGTTGTGACCAACACAGTTTTGCGTAATAGCTATAAGCACAACCAATTATAGTAAATTATTTAAGATGCAAGATGTAAGTTTCACTTCAGTTGGTTTATTGTCACTGGTGTATATTTCCTTAAATGTTTTAATATTTTTTTATATTAGATGTAGTGTAATTTTTTTGAGTCATGCTAGAATATTCTGATCATAATAGCTGTAAGTTCCAAGAGGAATTTGTCAAAGCCTGTTTCACGCAAGTGCAGTATTTACTGCTCTATATGTGTGCGTATTGCCTCGAGCTGTCGTGCACTACCATACTACAGTAATTATTTTTATGAATTAGAACTGTTTTCAGATGTAGGTGTAGAGTTGTATAAGATAGCAACAAATTTATATTTATAAATGAAGTGAATGGAAGATGTGAACCAAGCATCTTCATATCAATTCTTAGAAGCTATAATTAGACTAAACTTTGGAAACACTATAGTCTAGAGTAAAAATATACATATTCACATAAAAAAGCTTTTTATTTTATTTTTCCTCTCAACTACTTTCTTGGCAAGCGCTGTTTTCAAAAGGGATATGTTTCCCGTTTTCTCATGTAACCACAGTGAGCTGGTTTGGTTCTCTGTCCCCAATATTTTTAGATTTGATTAAATAACTTTTTATTTTAAAATATTTAATTCACATTATTAAAAAAAATATAAAGACTGATATACTGTATTATTAAAATAATTACCAAGTCCAGAGGTTTGAGAGCATGCCTTTGAATTATTATTGTTACATTTTTGAGTCTTAATAGTGATCACCCAACTGTACTTCTGGAGTTTTAGAAGATTTCCGTTTTGCCTCCTTTAGATGGTTTTCTTTCTTTTGCCCTTGATCTCAGTGAAGCTGCAAACATTGTCAAAATACTAAAGATCCCTATTATTAAAAATCTAATAATCAGTTTATAATATAATAAAGCTGGAAACATTCCTGGAAGTGGTGACAACTTGAAAACATTTTGTGTTTCCTTTCAAGAGTAGACATTATATTAGGCTAGAAGTGGGTTCCAATGCTACTAATTGTTAAAAATCAACATTATCCTTGACAAGATTTTTGGCTTTCTTTCAGTGATATGTACAGACATCGTATGCTCACAAGGAATCCCATCCTACCTAAGAAAATGGCCTTTGAGAACAAAGCTCTCTGTACACAATATACAATATAACCCTTCGAAAACATGAACAATCATTGATCTCTTTACAGAGTTCAAAAGAAAGTTCACAATAGCATTTCATTGGGAATAAAACAAATTCATAGACATTACACTGAAATTTAGTGTGCCACTGTCAATGTTCGTTAGAAAAACCAAAAGAAAAAAGGCCCCATGGTATGCAAAACACCTGATCATAGGCGGTCAAAAGAGGATAAAAAATAAGTTTCCTTCCATGTAAGTGTTGACGTAAATTAGTTACAATACAAATTTAAATGATATATAATTAATTTTTTGCAACAATGCCTTTGAAAAATTAATTCTTACAAGCCTATTTTAGCCAAAATTAATGGCTTTCTAAATTACTATTTTAGTAAAAGTAAATACCAGAACTTCTTGACCCATGTAACAGTTTTGAGTGATAAATGTTCCATGCAAGTGTGTTTGTCATATCACAAAAGCTAACTTCTTACATGTATGGAGTAGTGAAATTCCACCTCCCATTGGCCCTTGCGAATTTTATTCAGAGAAAAAGCATTCTTTCACAAAAAAATATGAAAAGTGGCCTTTGGCAGTGAAAATGCTGCTGAACAAAGCCATGCAATATTGTTTTCCAAAAAGGAGCGTGCACACTGCTTCAATAAGATGCTTTAATCTCGCACCACAACAAATTAAATATTTTAAACAAAAACAATATATTATATTTGTGTGTGTGTATATATAAAACAAAGTTGGGTTAATTACACTATTGATTACTCGAGAACGGCATTAATTTTAATTATCTATGATTTGTTGGATTCATCTCCACGCGGAATAGAAGAATAACTATTGAAATATAGATAAATTAAAAAAGTACATATTTATACTAAATGTAACCCACAGCACACTGCAGGATTTTTTTAACTATATATCATTAAATAGCTTTTTAACGAAGGGTTCTAGGACATTAAAAACTAAACTTTTGAGATAGGCCTTAAAGAATCGTTTCTAACACAATCCACAGGATGAGATCTCTACATTTTCGCTGGTTTTAATTTTCATTCAATTTCCATTTAAACTGCGATTCACACGAGCTTCATTGTTGCTGGCCGTTGCCCGGGGGGGGGGGGTCTAGCAGGAAGATGCGTTCGGGATGTGGTAATGTGAACTCATGCAGAGCGTGTAGATGATTGCTGCATGAGATCAACCTGGTGGTAATATTATTTTAAGAATATTAAAGAACAGCCTCTTCCTAAATGGCAATTTTCTTTGAAAAATGGAAGCCGGTTTTTAAGCAAATGACGCTTAAGTGCTACTGTAAATTCGAAGTTTGAACCTCTTTTCACAAAAAACTATTGAGCTTTCTAAAAACTTCATATGAAGTCATTTCAAGCACTTCCAGTCACATGCAATAGTGTTTACAAATCGCTGGATATGTGCATATTAAAGGCGTTGAGAGATATTGCAAAAAATATTTATAAATTTTGACAAATCAAATTAATATTGCAAAATTAATTCTATTTCATCTTAAACGGTGCATTTAGCTCTATAGGCTAGAAAAGTTTTAAGAAAAAATTTTGGGCTATTTTTTGAGAAAATAGCGTTTCTGAAAATGCGAAATTTTGAACTCATTTTCACAGAAATCTCTGTTTCCAGGAAACTCTATCTGACATTATTTAAAGTCCATGTATTCATAAATACATTAATGTAAAGATATTGCCGCAAATGTAAATGCTAACAATGTGATCACAGATCACAAGTTATGAAAAATGTCATTGTACCTAATGAACAACTTTTTGAAGTGGCCCAGGAGTCGTTGCACAAAAACATGAAATTTTGCTGTCGTCATTACTCCAGACGTGTAGTCGGAAATTACAATAGAGGATCTAATAAATAACCTATTAATTGCTTCTGATCCCCTTATGTTGATTTTGGAAAACTTAGCAAAAAGACATTTCATTTCTGAGAGCAGAGTATTAATATCCCTTTTACAACTAATCAGAAGTCCCTTACACATTCGTCTAATGATGACTGATTCAGATTGAAATATTGCTCAGATATTATTGTAAAAAATAATTACATATTTTCTGTTGAAAAAAAATTATATATGATGTTCTATATATCCAATCATATATTCCTCGCCGTATGGTGATGATTCCCGTGTCCTTGACTTCGTGTAAATAGGCTTCCAGGAGTTTTGGCCAGGTTTCATCCCTTATGTTCTACTGTGCCTTGTGCTCTTTACACATGTAACAAGAATGGCTGGACGGATGAGGAATTCATCACGTGTCTCAAACACTTGAAAAGCCTTCCTTGACCAGCTGTCCAAGACCCAGTGCTGTTGAACTTGAACAACCTTGGGAGTCACATCACTTTAGACTCCAATAATTATTGTACACAAAACACTGTTTGAAGAACTAATGTGTTTATTTTGCTTCATATTTGTTTAGGGACTCCCATTACTCGCACGAGAGGGTCACGAGGACCAAATGCAAATTTTTGGAAATTGTATATTTGAGAGGGTTTTGTGAGTTTTTGATTATTTTTGTGCTGAAAACACAAGCTTAGTGTATAACTTAACTAATGGTTGATATAAAAGCTCATACTTGTTCATATGAACAATTCGTGCTGATTTATATTGAAAAAAGTGACCCCCGTTTCCCCTGCTTTGCGACGCAGCTCTAATGTGATATCGGGCATCTGGAAGCCTCTAGAAACCCGGGCCAAATACCCCGTCATATGGGAGGCGTTGTTGCACCCTGGGCCGCTTGGTGGTGCAGCCTGTTAGCTGGATAAAGAGAGATTACTCCAAGAAGTGACCGCTTTGTCAGCTAGTGCTTGGCCACTTCCAGAAACATGCCTAGAGGTTATGTGCATGCATTCATTTTGTCAGTGCATTCGTTTACAGTTAACTCATTTGTAAATGGCTTCGTCACTATCTCTTGCAGTGGCATCGCCCTTCTTGATGTTCAGTTGTTTCTTGACCTGTCAAAGAGGTCCCTTTAAACAATTATTAAATCTACTCGATTAGCCGTGCTTCCGTACGTCCTCTGCGTCTCGGACCGCGTGGGAAAACTACTACGGAAGAAGAACATCCAGACACCCGACAAACTCCACAAGGCCCTGGTGCGCATTAAAGACGCTTTACCACCTCTCCAGGCGGCAGGCCCATACGAAGTTCCCTGGCAGAACGTATGTCGGTGAGACCGGGCGCAGTGTCTGAACGACTTAGGGAACACATTAGCCATTACAACAAAAACCAAACCCACCGTTCGGCTGTAGCACTCGATTCCGAGGTCACTGGGCATGCCATTGAATTTGACAAGACCCAGCTCCTGCACAGTGAAAACCGATTCTGGCCTAGACGCATCAAAGAAGCAATAGAAATTAGTAGACGGCCGCACAACATCAACGTGGATGCAGGCCTTAATATAAACGACGCCTGGAAGTATATTCTACCACCAATTTGTGACTGCGCGGCGGCTGTTCAACACCGTCCGATCTCTAGGACGGCTGGTGCGAGGCCCGAATTGGCCCAGACCGCGAGCCAATCAGAGAGACCTTTCCGCCAATCACGGCGCACCTGCGTTACCCGAGCCCCTAGGCTGAAAAAGATATAACACCGGAGGCGGAGCTTTACAGTGTCACTACCCTGAAGAAGCCTGCGACATGACAGGCGTAACGTCGACAAACATCAAGGAAGTACTAAGATACACTGACTTCTTAGAGTGACCATTGAAGACTATAAGATGACAGATAGAATACCCCAGTGCAGAAATTGCCAAAGACTGTCCCACACGAAGGCCTATTGCAGGAGACAAGCGACTTGCGCCCTCTGCGCTGGTTCCCATCCAACTGAAGACTGTCCTTTCCACACATCTGACAAACGATTCTCCCCGAAATGCATTAACTGCTCCCTAAACCACCCTGCCTACGACCCACAATGCCCCTTCACAGTGAAAGCCAGAGAACGACAAGCACAGATGACCAAATTATTAAGCCACCCACCCCCAACCCACTCTAAAACTTTCCCCCTGTAAGACCCCAAAACCAAGCCTACGCCTCTGCCACCAACCTAATCCAAACCCAACAACAAACTACTCAATCAACTACCCAGGATATACAAGACCTCCTGTCCCTTTTTCAAAATTCCACAGTCAAAAAGATAATCCTCAATCTAAAACCCCTCCATGAAATCCTCAAAGGTCCAGAGAACATCATCACAAAACTAATTACAGCAGGAATCAAATAAGTTGAACTCCTCCACTAATGGCTCCCCCTCCCAAAATTTTAATCCTATCCTCGTGGAACGCGCGAGACGGTATAATCTAGAAAAAACCCATCCTCACCCAATTCCTTAAAGATTACTGCATGGGGATACTATTCTTACTAGAGACGTGGCTGACACCCGATATATCCTTTTCCATCCCTACCTACACCAC